GATTGGCATAAAGCGAGATTAAATCTTTCAGTCCCTTCAGTTTCTAACAACAGCAGAAATGAAACATTGGTTTTAGTTTACATTGGGACCAGTAGGGGGCGCTGAGCCTGCATGGATCCTAACACCCCTGTATAGTGACGGGGACACTACACCGTAAAAAAATACAAACATCCCCTTCGGATGAGACATAAAGCTGAGGTCCTGACTCTCTGTGTTCTTTAAAAATCCCAGGGCATATCTCGTAAAATGTGTAGGGGTGTTACCCTGGTGTCCTGGCCAAATTTCCCCCTTTGGCCTTGTGGCGTCTCCGGGGGAAAGGTTTATGTAAATGAGATAAAGTACTCACCCCACACTTTCCTTCTTTATCTTCCGTGGAGATTTACTCTGTTCCTCCAGTCCGTTTAACTTCCAAGCCAGTCCGCAATCCGTCCTCTCCATCCTTATTCAATCCGAGTTCCAAAGTCCACAAAGTGCCACAAATCCGGGTCGTATCTAAATCACAAACCGTAAACCGTAGTCTTTTTTTCCTTCCGTTACACAAATTTAGTCTCCTTTGTACCATCCATCCATCTTCTAGTGCTTTTTCCAATACAGGGTGTCACAGGTGCTGGTTCTGACTCCTGTGAAATGCGTAGTTTAAGACCCTATGCGAGATGGTGTAATCGGGGAGTGACTGGAGTCGGACATCAGGGAAGACGCAGCAGGGTCAGGGTGGGCAGAAACACAGTGGTGGTGGTGAGGTGGTGAGGGCTGTGATCTGGTGCAGAAGGGGATCGCAGGCGCACGAGTCCAGAGGAAGTCCAATAGGGAAAATCGGGATGCAGTCCAAGCTCAAGGTGCTGGGAGACCCATCCAAGACATACTCAGGAACAGGGAAGTAGGAATACGGATAGTTAAAACCTTGACGGGACGAGGCCCTCCGAGCCCCGGACTCAGTAGGGCAGGGCGCCGGGATGAAGCCTGTGCCCGGTGGTAGGCGGGCTTCCAGGTTCTTCCAGAGCTGAGCCCGGAACTAGAGACACGCCGGGCTTAAATAGGGAAAAGGGGATAAGACACAGCTGGGACAAATAAAACTGGGAACACAACGAAAAAGGTAGGAGCACCCTCTAGAGTAGAGGAGGGACGACCACCGTGACATTGGGTTGATGAGTGGCCGGTATCTATCCCAGCATGCAACAGGCTCAAGGCAGGATATAGCCTTGACAGGACTCCTATCACAGGACACACGCACACACACACACCAGCGACAATTCCCCCAAAGCCAGTTAACGTACAATACCAGTACATCATTCAGGGAAAACCCAGGGCCCCATGCTAACCAATGCGCAGCTGTGCCACAGCCTTTGTAACATATTTTATGTCAGTCTGTTCTTCCGTGAGAAACACCCTGATTTCAGGATAGTCGGAGAAAAGCCCCAGGGCCTGGAACTATGATATGAGCCACACATTTGAATATTACATGTGTTTTTACTCCTTTATTCAGGAAAGCAAATGCAGTATGTTCCTTGAGGACAGACATTTTAGTTTCTGCAGACCGTGAGGTTTGGTAAAGACACTGATTTTTATGTTGTTGTCAAATATAGATAAAAAGTTGTAAACTTAAAACATAAATCATAGGAAATTACCATGTTATAAAACCAAACCCAATTAACACAGCAAGGTTTTTAAAATATGTCCAGCATTCATGTTTTAAGCACGGGGATAAATGCTGTGAGAGTAAAAAACAAGATTTAATATTCGTTACGGTTCTATTTTCTATTTTCTCTTTACAAAAAACAAATAAACATATTTTACAGGAACCTGACTTACAGATTCAATTTTAAAATTATTTGAATTTGCATTTTACAATAATTGTTCTGTGTTCATAGGGTTTAACATCAATACGCTGTTTTCATGTCCTTAATGTACACATTCTTCTGTTGCATATTTCTTTACTCTTTGTAGTGAAATATCGATATACTGTACAGTATGTATTGTGTTCATACAATCTGCTAAAAAAGCGAGGCACTGAAAACAACCGTTTCCTCGACTACAGCTGCAAGAAGTCCGAGGCGCGTTTCCTGCGCACCCGTGTGGTCAACTGTTGTAACTACTTCAATAATCGAAGGGCTGGAGTCCTGCAGAGATCTGACACGCTTCAGTCGCGAGTTAAAAACCAATCCCAAACAAAGTTCACATAAAACTGGAAAATTCACATGTTTGAATTATATATGTTAAATTCTATATTCATTAAGATGACAATTTTAACCGCTTTAATACGTTATTTTTATTGCTTCTTTTTTATATCCGACGTAGAGAAATGGATACATATTTATTTCATTTCATCCGAACTGGCCAAATAATTTCCTTTGTGAAATCTATCAGAACACACACTGTTTCTTCAAGACATTACTTCTGACCTTCGTGGCCCTAAACTGAAATTCATTCGACACACATTAATGTGAGTGTGAGGTGAACGTGTGTCCGAGTCTGTAATGTTTTTTTAGAAAACACAGATAAAAATCTCAAATGTTGCTTAATCTATTCAAACTAGTTAAGAAAGCATTCCTTGTCTACTGTGGTTTAATGGGTATCCATCTATAAATATTTCAAACAGGAACTTTTGAAAGAAATCCTGTAACAAAATTGCTAGTTTTATTGTGAGCACTTACAGTACACCACATTAAGATATAATAGCACCTTTCTCTGTCTCTACTTAGCAAACAAACAACGACAGCTATCACTAGTATTAAACAGAACAGACAAATACTATACATATGGTCTGAGATTTTCTATAGAATATGGAGAGAGAGAATGATGTCTGTTTAACGTTGACGGATACTAGCCTACTTTCAATAATGAATTTCCAAATTAACTAAAAGACGGTTGTTATTGCTCCGCAGGCCGTTTCTTAGTTGTCAGATACTTTCGGATCACATCAGGATTGTGAAAAGGAATAGTAAACATACACAACAAAGAACAAACTATCAGAAAGTACACCAAGCAAACTGCTTCTCCATCACAAATAAAATGCACACAGTTTAAGCTTTGTAAGAATTGTGTAGTCAAAACTCTTCTGCTGGGATAAAATAAACTCATTTATTATAATTAGTATTATTTTGCAGGAATTTATCAAAACTACTTAATGGTTATGCAAGCAAGGCATCATGTTTCTGTTGAAATGGAAAACTCACCACTCAGACTGTGAAAAAGATTTTTTAAAGTATGTTAAAAATGCCAAGGACATAAAATACCAGGTAGAGAAAAGCAAGTTGTGATTTCATGTGAGAGGAGCCAAAAGGAAAGCTGGAATAAAGGGGATTGGTGGGATGGTTTTAAATCTAATTTTAGTGCAGGATACGTCAAACATCTCATTGCTATTAACTGCTATCTCTTATGTTTGTGAAGTTTACCAAAGTGTGAAGCATACTGTACATCTGTGTAGGTAAACTGGAGAACTGTCAGTCTTTCCCCTCATGTTTGGTGTTTTTCATAAGTTTAAGGTCTCAGTTTATTAACCCTGTAATGCAAGAAACATTTATAAACACCTGATAAAACATCTTCTGGATGCTTTAATCCATGCAGTAATTTGTAGCTAAATGTCACATGACATTCTCTTCTTAATCCATCTACTCATTTCTGCTGTGTTCAGTTGGGTTAAAGAATGTTTTGTGCTGTGGGCCCTGTCAGCGACAGTGACTTATTTACTGTATTTAAATGATGTGCATTTTGTATTTACTTTATGTATTATTGCAGGGAAAGGGTAAGTCCAGGCCGTCCGCTAAGCAAATAATTATAACTGGTGTGATTGTCTTCCTGCAGTCCTCACAATCTGAATTACTTGTGCAGAATGTCTGACACTGTGCTCATAGAAACAGTTTCCCAAAATAACTGAGTCCTGTCTGAGAAAACAAACCTCAGGATAGTGTCAAATTAATGTTGTTCACACGTGTCTGGAAACAACTAATTTAAATGTCAGTGCCTTTCTGCATTCACTCACCCTTTTTGTATTTTTATAAAAAATAACTCAATTTTAGTCCTCAGACAGAATACCACGTATGTACTGCTGCTTCCCTTCTTCAATGATGCGTGCAGTTGTTCTTATTTTCTATGCTTTTTTAAATAATACGGTATTAAAATTCCAGATGAATCTAATCACACCAGTAGTCTCCGTTTAGAATAGTTTCACTTCAGAAGTACATTTTTACATTGGACATTTGTGAATGTCAATCCTCAGCAGTTACAGAGAAAGGAGCAATACTTTTCACTGGGTGTAAAAAGACTGGAAAGCCACATACTGTACAGACGAGGGGCAGAATGGGGAAAAAACATTTTTTGAAGTATGCTTCTGTAGTTGTTGTATAACACTCTAGTAGTTAAAGGGAACAGTGAGCAATTCAGAGAATTTATTTTTGGAAAAGGAGCACAGATTTGACAGCAGTGTTAACAAGCCAACTGATGACACTGAAAGGCAGCCAATATGCAAAAAGCAAAACTATACAAACAAACAAGTAATAGGTTTATTCCACGCTGAAAAAAAGAAGAGAGAGAACACAACGTTTTAGCCGTGGAGCCTTCTTCAGGTTCTTCACTATACAAACGTCTAATGATCATTCAGGTGATCTGCAGAGTGCACAGGAAAAGGTGAAACTGCTCAAAACTCCAGTCTACATGCAAAACACGTGTAAATAATCTGTTTTGATTGACTGCAATATTGTACTGCAGCACCTTATAAAAACAGTTTAACCAACCAGAAAAGGCAAAGATACTGCCGGCACGATGGTGTGTTTGCTGTAATTCTCGAAGAGATGCAATCCTCTGAGGATGTACTGTACAGTATGTGGCAGCTTACTGAAAACTGAGAGTCAGCAGCGCTCGGCCGCTTTTCAAAAAGAACTATTTGCAAGTCTGAATTTGTGTGCGGAGGAAAGGTGTGTTTAGATTGGAGACAGAGGAGAGCTTTGTGCACTTTCACATCTCATACATATCAGCTCCTCTCTCTTGACACCTCACTGCCTCCCTCCCTCCCTCCGTCCCTCTCTCACAGTTTCCAGACTTCTCTCACAGGGAGCACAGATATGATGCTGGGGTTCCTCTCCAATATCTTTCTCCTCATTTTGGCACAACAGGTAAGATCCACAGCTCCATCTTTTCTCGAACACATTCAACAGAAAAGCAGTGTTCCCAGGGTATATTCTTGGAAGGCAACACTTCCCTGCTCGTGTTCTCACGACAACCTGATTTTATATTCATGAAACCAGAAAAAACAGTTTAAACAAATGAAACCGTTTCTCCACTATGTTCCACATAAAAATGTGCAAGGCCGTGGGTGAGTAGTTTAATTTGTTGTTTTTTTTTCAGGATGGCCCTGCAAAAAATACTCACAGCATTAAGTTATAACTCATTAAACGACTTATTGAAGCAGAAGTGTGACTTTTCAGTGCTTATGTGAAAACTAGTCATGAAACGACACACTCAGTTGCTTAGTTTCAGAGATCGCTGTGGGGTGAATGGCTGACTCTGCAAATTGTATGTGCCTGAAAATGCTCAAGAAATCCATGCATATTCATGGAATTGTTGAATTTAGCCAAATTATTGAGATACTGTACAGTGCAGCTATCATACTGTGTGATTGTAGCTCTTATTACAGTACGTAATGCTGAAAAGCTGGGCGTTTCTGAGCTACAACTATGTTTTTTTACGGAGTTTTGGTTAGGAAAGAAATACACCAAAGCTAGAAGACTATCTTATCTTTAATCATTCCTTAAATTCACCCACATGCAGATGAAATGAAGTGCCTCTGCCTGTAAACACGACAGAAGGGCTTAAGATTTTTATTCACAACCTACAGACCTTTGGCCGTGCCGGGGAGCTGTGGGAGTTTAGTGCAGGAGAGTCGCAAGTGTCTTGGTATTTTCAATCTGAAACTCCTCACTTTCACAACTGAGCGCTAAACACAGCAGTGCTGTCTTCACATTCAAATAAACCTAAATCTGAAATCGCTGTTTGTGAAGTGTTATTGTGGCGTTACTCTACTGGTGTCACTGAGATACAGTAGATTTTAATGGAAAATACGGAATAAGTGATTTCCTCATCCTCAACGCTGAACTATACATTTCTGGACCTTGTCCCTGTAAGAAATATTTTATTGCATGGGGTGCAAGAGACAGAATTCAGCAGCTTTTGAAAAGAGCTGTTTTTGTAGCCTTATGATCATAGGATTTTAAGGGATGTTTCTGAAGTTTTGACTGTTTACTTCAGAAAACAGACTCACAATTTAGATGATTGCATGGATTGTTTAATTTTAATAGCAGAAAGTACACACTTGAAATACTGTGTATGGTTGCTTTGAAAAACAAAATTGAGAACTTCATGATTTTCTCTGTTTTACCTTACTTGCTTGTGGTTTAATTGCACTGTGATATCATTCATTTTGTTTTACTTCAGTTTTCCTGTTTGCACTTTACATTCTTGTATCGCGTAATGGAAAACTTAATTGGCGATGGAATTTTTAGCAATAATCAGTAGGAAAAGACACTCAGCATGAGTACAAAGTGGGGTAATTGCCTCTGCTTTATTTTTTTCTCTCTAAAGCCTTTGCTTTGGTGGTCCATCAATTAACAAAAGCCCCAGCCCCTCTCCCACAAAGCTTCTCATCACCAGACCAGCTCAGAGACCACTGAAGTCCAGTGTATGGGAGGACTGGTGGTAAAAAATAGCATTAAAGATGTGCATATCATTTTTCAAGGCGACACCTTTGCAGGATTTATTTAATAATGTGATTTGAGTCCCACTGTTTTCAGAAGAAATGGATTACAGGTGCAATCATCACAGATGCTTCCCTCTGTCATTGCTTGATGGGGTAGCACAATCACAGGACATGCACAGTTAACACAGCCTTGTGCTTTGCGGAGCACAGCAAAATCCCGTCCTTTTTGCCCTGTGTCCTGGCTGCACTGGGCGCTTGTGAGTTTGTTCAACAAAGCGATCCAAAATCCAACCCGCTGAAATCGGGTTTTGCTTTTAAAGATGGTTACTTGCTCCTGAAATTACATGATAAAAACGGGTAACAAAAGTCTTCTGTGGTCATAACCCAGAAAAAACATTGTGATCCGAGACTGATGGTGGCCCAACCAGGACGATTACTGGTGACTGTGTCCAGACAGTGTCAGAGTCACGCTTATCGTACACTGGGGCATAAGTAAAGAAAGCACTCCTGTTCTTAGTTTTATATTATACCTCAAGTTTTTCTACAGGGCTCAGAGCAATGGTCAATTAGCAGCTCCGAGGACCGGGGCAGGAGGCCCCGAGCGCAGGCAGTTCTGTCACTGGCCATGCAGATGTCGCAGCAAGCCCCCGTGTGCCCCAGGGGTCAGCCTGGTCAAAGACGGTTGCGGGTGCTGCCCGACCTGCGCCAAGCAGGCTGGGGAAGCCTGCAATGAAGCCGACGTCTGCGATCCTCACAAGGGGATGTACTGCGACTACGCTGCCGACAGCCCTCGCTTCGAGGTGGGAGTCTGTGCCTGTAAGTGACCACACTCTGTAGCGGCTTCTTACCGTATGTTCATTCACACACATCGACAACACAAAACCAGCTCGGAACCGTGTCTTTGTTAACCGAGTTCACGATAAAGCCAGTAACTTGTGACACATTAGTTAGAGATCAAGCCCAGTTTTAAGGGGTCAATCCTCAGTAGGTTTCTTGTTCTGTCAATACCACGATATGGTTCTGAGATCAGGGCTTACTGATGCTTCTGTAACATTATCTTTCAAGTCAAGCATGTCATGTAAACTTTCATACACGTCTCAGTATATACATTTGAATATTAAGTACCGTTATTCAGTTTTATTATAAATGCCTTACTAATATAATGTTGCCATAACAAAATGGCTAGTTGCTTTACATTAACTCTTCAGATATTTGTAGCTTGCATATAACTGAACCCGATCATAAGCAACATGGGTCTGTACAGTGCAGTATTAGTAGGTGCTTTTATTATGACTACTGTATCTGTCTCTCTTTGACCCTTGGATCTGCAAACTGTGCAATCAACAGAATCATTCATCGCCCACCAAATGATCACTTGCACTGCGCCCTCTTTCCCTTGGTTGTACGTCGAACGTCACCCCAGCAGGGACCTTCTCTCACTTTCTCCAGACATGATGGCCGTCGGCTGCGAGCTCAACGGGGTTTTCTACAACAACGGCCAGGCGTTTCAGCCCAGCCCCTCGTACAAGTGCATCTGTGTGGCCGGGGCTATTGGCTGCACGCCAGCCTTCACTCGGAAGCCTGCCGCCCTGGAACGAACTGCCCCCACCGGTAGAGGAGTGCCAAGCCCGTTCAGAGGTGCCAAGGGCTCAAGGAAGCACCAGCAAGACACAACTTACAGAGCCATGCCAGGTGTGTATTTGGAGCAGATACAAGTAGAAAGCAATGCTTGTATCGCCAGGAATGATAATTGCTGTAAAGAAAATGGAGCTGTATAATTACCTTGGCAAAGGAATACAGGGATAAAGTGATAAAAATCGTCTTCAATGTGTAGCTGAGCACAGATCACTTAGGGCAGCAATTCTCAGTCAAATGTCTCGTTTTCATTTTGAAGTTGGGGAGATGTTTTCTTAACACTGCGTTTTAAAAATGAAAAATTAAAAAATACATTTCCGCAAAAGAACACAGAACTTCAATCTGTCGCTAGAAACTTTAGTAGCCAAATGATAAAAATGTTACGCCATTCCCTTTAACTGCAATACTGATAGCTTACAGGAATCACCCTTTAGCATGGAAAAAGAACTGCCTCATCCAGACCACAGCATGGAGCCCCTGTTCCAAATCCTGTGGGATGGGCATCTCGGTCAGGGTCAACAACGACAACAGCAAATGTGAAATGAGAAAGGACCGCAGACTGTGCATACTGAGGCCTTGTGATGCAAATATACTCCAAAATGTAATGGTAGGTAATTGATTTATTGCAAAAATGTGTTACTATTAAAACAATAAGTAATTTTCTTACTTCACTTAACTCCACTGTCTTACAGAATAAGGTATGGGTCCTAAAATGAGCTGCACTGCTCTGTGCCAGTTTTATCCTTAAATTCATTCCGTTGATCACAGCTGTAAGTTTTTCAATTTCCTGTTAAAAGCGCAGTTATTTGAAAGTTTCTTTCACCCACCCTGTTTGAACAAACAGTAATTATACGAAATGCTAATGCATGCATCTAGAAATAAAACCCCCCAAAAAAGTGCAAAAACAAGGTGATAAATAAATTCTACACATTACTACTTACACTTCAAATGAGATATATCTCACATTTATTTCTAGATACCAAGGGGAAAAACCTGTCAGCCGAAGTTCCAGTTAAAGAAGCCAGAGAAGCTGACTCTGTCGGGCTGCTCCAGTACTCGGAGCTACAGGCCTGCTTACTGTGGGGTTTGCAGTGACAAGCGCTGTTGTACCCCCAGCACATCCAGAATGATCACGGTCCAGTTTGACTGCGCCGACGGGGCCCGGGTGAAGTGGAAGATGCTGTGGATTTCCTCCTGTGTGTGCCAAAGGAATTGCAGAGATCCTGGCGACATCTTCTCTGAACTGACCCTTCTCTAGTCTTTGAAGCGCTATTACATCAGAACCAAGTTCTCAAAAACATATCAATAATCAAGATGGAAAGTGTTATAAAAAAAGTCCTGGAAACAAATGCCCAATTTCTTGCCGATAGCGTTGACTACACTTGTAGTTCTGGGTGGTATTTCAGTATTTGATAAAGTAGACAAGAAAATGATTTGCTGGAGAAGCACTGATAATTCTTTGGCAAATGACAGCTAATGATTATGTCACCACAAATTCACCATCAGGAAAACACACATTGAAACACAAAAATATCAATGGACATTTGAAGCACAAAGGTATTTTTCTGATTGGTTTGTTTTCATGATGCAATGTGGTAACATAACCTGGATTATTTTACATGTATGTGTTGTTTTAACGTTTAAGTTGCTTGTCTCTGACTTTAGATTACATATACTGTTACATTTTTATAACCAGGATTTTAAAGTGCAAATAAGGACAAAACAATGGTGTGCGTAGCTTCTGTTTATAAACGCTTGATAAGCAGTCATTCAAAATTGAAAACACACTCTTTTACTATAAATATTACATCAAAAGCAACACAGATTCCTGTATTATTTTCAACTAGCAGAAATGGTGAACAATTACCCATCATTTTTCAAATAAATCTAAATCTAGAGACAGGAAGATTAACTATTGTCCTTGAATTATTTAGCTTGTTAACTCCTGTCCAATTCTATTTGTTTTTAAAGATGATACACGTCTTGAGCCACACTAAACAAAGAAATAGTATTCAGTTTTAGAAAAACTATAACTGCTACAGCATGAAACAATTTTGTTATTCCTTATAACACGTTTAATAGTGCAGTTTGTTTTATGTTATCGATTTGAGCCAGACCTCAAGGAGGGCTGTGGCAGATCAGAGCCTATCTCCTAAGTATAGGCTGCATGGGGGGACTGAGAGCAAGTAACTGCTCATCATGTGAAACGGGACATCTGTCTAGCTCAGAGTCCTTCGTCCATAGTCCATTTAGGCCTATTCTCATAGCCTTTTTTAGATAGAAACACAATAATCTGCACCCAGATTTCTGCTACTTCTCATTTTGGTGAAGGTAAACATTTTCTTCCTGTGGTCAACAACCATATGTATTCATATTACCACTACAAAATACACTTATACTTTTATTTATGACCAATAGCTATAGATGAGCAATTGTCTAACCAGTGAACTAGGCAGAATATCCATGATGGCTTTCTGTACAAATGGTCCTGGACATTTACAAAATGCTTATATAGTAATCTTTGGGAAACGATAACAACATTTACAGCAGTATACTGTATAATTAAAATATTACTACCCCTTCTGGAGCGGTCTTTGAATCTTAGACTCTAATGGTGTCATTAGTCTGGATGTGAACTACAACATAATATTTAACACAAAAAACAGATATTTTAATTCTTTACATAAATGTTCATTACATTGTTAGAATATATGTTTAATATAATGTCACTTGAAAGAGCATTTTTTGATTGAATTAAAAATATGAATTACTTTACATACATGTACAAAAAGATTATTATAACAAAGTGCAATTAGATGTATGTCCTATTTATGATCATTATTATAATAAAAGAGCATGAAAACCTTTGCCTATGTTGTTATTTAGAAAGGATCGATTAAAAGTAATTTATACAGCTATGTTGAGTCGCGGTGCTTCTGCTGCTAGCAAACCCTTTGTTGCATCAAGCTGTTCATATTCCCCTATCAGTGAAGTCAAGGATGAGACAGCTTCTGTGAAACAAGCCTGCTCCATCCCATCTACATTTAAATAGTGGTGGAGATGAGCCTGCAAACAAAACACCCACCATTAAAAACATACATCCAGTAAGTAAGATGAGAACAAAATGTCATTTGCAACGATGACCTGGGGAATACCCACTTATACAGGAAGGATCTGTCGGAGGGCTTAAGGGTACAAAAGGAATGCTTCACCCAGAACCTGTCACATTTCAGCTACATGGCCAGCCACTACCGCACACTCCAGAAATCTGGCATATTCATGTGTGAAGCAGGAAAATGTTTTGCCATATAGTCCCTCAGTGCGGCTGTCACCTTTTTCAGACCATCACAAACCGAGGCGCTGGACTACATAACTATGCCTGGGGATCTCATCTGCTTCTAGAGGAATGTTGATGAGGTTAAACGACAACTGTATAATCACACGCTAGTAATTGATGCACAGAGGTGCACTGTATAAATGACTGATGTAAGTACTCATTCTTGTAATAGCCTGACGATCAGTCAATTATCTGAGTTGAGAGGGGTTCCTAAAGAAAAAAAACAGCTTGATATGAAAACGAAATGCTTGTATTTAGTACAAAAGCAACGATCACTTACTATTGTTAAGAAGTGCACCATTAACATAAATTGACATAAGGCACGTGATGTGATTTGAGTTTACAGGCTGGAGTTAAAGAGTAAAATAACCATTTCAGACGTGTGTCAGCGACACTTACCTTCTTCCTGTAGAGCCTCATGAACCTGTCCTTGAGCTCGACGAGTGTTGGCTTGATGCAGGTGTTGTTGGCCAGGGCCAGTAAGGAATGGGAGTGCCCCACTGGGGGAACCGAGCACAGACCGGTCTTCCAGCCTTCTTGGTTCCAAGACACAAACTGAAGAGAAGGCTTCAGCCTGGAGGAAGGTGAAGCAAAGCCAGTAAACATATATACTGTACACACACACATATATATTAAAAAAACATATTTTACCACCATTAATTTTATATAAAATGCAGTGTAGCAAAGTAGAACGTGACAATGGTTGAAAGGCTGCTGTTACTCAGGACAGAGTACCATATAAGAACATAAGTGAGGCTGTGAACGAGAGGAGGCCATTCGGCCCATCTAGCTTGCTTGGTAGTTAGGCAGTAACGGATCCTCGGCGACACAGCGCTCTCACGCAGCTGCGTCTTGAAAGACCAGGGATTCGCCTTCAACAACGTGGCGGGGAGCAGGTTCCACAGCTCCACAATCCTTTCGGTGCAGAGGTGCCTCTGGTACTCGGTTTTAAGAGATAAAACTTTCTGTCTGATTCCCTTAATATTTTTAAAATAGAAATTGCCTATTAAAATGATCTACCAGTAAAGGGATTCTCCGTTACTTCTTCATTCAGTATCCCAAGTTTCATTTCCCAGGAATAATTACTCTACATGAGTCACTCCCCTGGATCAACCTGCAGGTTATTTGCCCTGCTCAACATTCCAATGAAATATCTTTATTTTCCAAAGCTATTTTTTTCTTTTAAATTAGTTAGGGTGGCTGACTGTCTAAACAAAAACAGAACACACAAAATGTATACGGTGCCCTCCAGATGAATCCATACCACAGGGAAATAGGAACACAAAATATCAGAAACAGATAGGTCCTTCAGACACCATATCTGTGTTCATGTGGATGTATCCCTTGAATCGCTGGAAAAGTCTAATTTAGGCCAAGCTTGAGGTTCTTGGCAGGAGGAATCAGGTGTTTGGCTTAAATGTCCTGGTACGTGTTGGAGTTTATGATTACTGCTCCAAGACCCGAAGATGTGAAACAACCCCAGGAGTCTCCCTCACCTTTTTTTAAAGCAAGCTTGAGGGTTTTCTCAGCATGGGGTTTGCCTTTTTTTACACCAAACATGGTTCTGAGACACATCTCCAAAGACCTTAAAACATTGTGCCAAAATTCATTCAGATGCAGTTTAACCTATCTGAGTCACCTTCTGTGCACACACTGTGTACGCATTTTGATGTTGATGTTGACGTTTTGACTGAATGTTTTTGCAGTAGATTAAGAGAAATAGTCTGACTGGCCTCTTACCTTTCAATGTTCCTTCTAAGGTCAGACACTTGTACGTTGCCACGGACCATGAGGGCACAAGCCAAGTATAAGCTGTGCTTTGGGTCCGCGTGGATCAGCTGATGATCTCTACTGAAAGCATCAGTAAACATCTGATCCAGCCTGATTTACAAGAGCAGGTCGAGAAACACAATAAGAACATTAACAGTAGGCCACAGTTACTGTACAAGCAGTATACCAAGCATTGTATATGAATAAAGAAAACACGACAATCTGGTGAACTCAAGTGGATTGTACATTCGCACTGCTGGTGATTTAAAATGCATACAGCAAGACCTTAATGAGCCAAAAGACTTGCAGTTTATTCTATTATTTCTGCGTTTGTTGCTTTGGATTTCATTTTCAGGCAGAGGTTTCAGGGTTCTGCTCTTGACTGTCTCTAGGTGGCTCGATCTCTCTTTATCACGCAGTGCAAATGACCCCATGTGTATAAATTTCCCCCTCGGGGTTTACACGTAGTTGAAAAATTGCCTTCACAGTAAGGAGTCAGTGACGTACAGCACTGCACACATATCATATGCATTCCTCTCACGGCACAGGGTTTAGTCACTTTCAAAACTTGAAACCCTGCCAAAGAGTTCAACGGCAAGTAGTGTACACAAACAAGAATGGAGCTCTCCAAATGTAGTCTCAGAATCCAGTAACACTGCCCTCTTGCCATTAAATACCTATTCAGAATTTGACCGGTTCTGGTTTCTGCTAAACAAAACAAGACCAAAACAAAGTTAAATTGAATATTTTGTAGCAGGTTAAGATTTGGTTTAAATTGACTCAACCATCAGTGGAATTTAATACAGACGAATTGAAGGCAAATTCTTTACTAAAAGAATTCTCTCATTCATAGCAGCTGAAAGGGCTCTTTATGGGCGCCCATGGAAGAGCTCCAGACTCAAACTTAATATCCTGAGCTGCTGAAAGTACAAACAAACAGTGCAGCAGTAAAAATAGCTCAAGAGTGCACTGTACCTCCTTGAAGGAATATTTACATCCGCCAGTGTGTACAGAGGAGTTAAACTGGGTACCAGGTAGTGCAGCCGTGGAAATGGAACAAGGTTCATAGCAATTTCATTGAGGTCCATGTTGAGGGACCCCTCAAAACGTGCAGAGCTATAAAAAAAAAAAAACATTTTGTCTGTGGATCTTAAAACAATCTTCCGCAGCTGCATAATTTACTCTGCTTTCTTATTCCTCACTGGGAGATGCTTCCTTACATTTAATACTAATGTTTCACAAGGAAATGCTAACAGGTTAAACTCTGCCCATCTTAAACAGCAGTGGGGGAGAAATAAAAAAAAAAACTAATTTTTAGAACTAGGCACATTTATAAGGTGCAGTAGAAAAAAAGATGTTCCACACTAAAGGGCTTCTAATGTTTGAACATACTGTACCTGGTTAAGTTTAGCAGTAGATTAGCTACGATGTTGTTCATGGCATCAAAAGGCTTCTCCAAACTACTGACTCCTCCGCGGCCAGAAATGATGGTGCTGTCCTGTTTAATTACAGCTCCAGGCTTTCCTGAATAGGCCATCTGCTTAATTTTGTTGACTATGTCAACTAAAGACTGCAATAATTAATAAGAAATAATAAAAGGAAAGACAAAATATCAATGAATGTCAAGTATCAATGTCTTACATCTTTAAATACCAATTAGCTGGATGTTAGATTTTTTTGTACTGGCTTTACATCTTTCAAATTGCCCTTTTTCTTCAGTTCTGAAAAATGTGTTTGAAAATAAGCTTTTTAAAGGGGATTACTTTGAAATATGCAACCAAAAGATTGTAACTCTGTGAAAAAGAAAAGAACATAACAGAAAAAGAAAACTTCCAAACAGAAGGAAACACACTAATATTCTATATTAATAATATCAGAGAAGGTCAACAAAAGTAATTAGGCTGAAACATATTTAATAATAATCAGTCGTATCAAACAATGAAAGGAATAGCAACTACGGACATCAAATTGAATTTTATTTTTGGAAGGTTTTATTTAGTTAAAATTCTGGGGCAATCTCCGATATAATGCAAATTCTCTTTTTTTGCCCCCCACCACTGTCTTCCAGACTCACTTGATTTTCTATGGGAAGAACACAGTCTGCATGCTCGGTCAGCTCTCGCATTGCCAGGACACTGTTATAGGGGGAAGTGATGACATCGTCTTCAGCAGAAGGGTACACTGAAGTGACTATCCTGTAAACCTCAGGGAATTCATCCTCAAGCAGGTTCAGAACAAAAGTCCCCAAACCAGACCCAGTCCCTAAAAGGCATTAATAAAATCAGATTACCATTAGTAATATCATCCTAATCTTTACAGAACACTGCAGAAATTGTTGAATGTGTCTTTAAAATGTCATGAGCCAGGGATTTTCACATTTCTCCTTCTGCAAAGGAATAAAGGCATGCCTTTTCCTACAGGTGTCATCTTTCCTTCATGAGCAGAAAGAAGTCTATGATCTTGTACAGAAAAGTTGGGGCCTCCTCATACAGAAAATGTATTTTTAACAATTATTTACCTATTATTGTTAGATTGACACTTACACCCAAAGTGTCTTACAGTTGCGTCCATTTATAGAGCTGGACATTTTATCTAAGTACCTTGTTCAGGGGTACAATAGCAATGGCCCACACTGTAGCCACACCTTTCCAGCTCTGAGTCCAGTCCTAACCACAAAGCTACACAACTAGTAGGCAAGCTTTATAATCATAGAAATTAGCCACAAATGAAAGGCTATGGAAATCCACAGCTCACCTCCCCCCATAGAGTGTATAACAAAGAAGCACTGCAGGCAGTCACAGTGCTCTGCAGCCTTTCTCAGATTCTCCACAATCTGCTCTCGGTAAGTGCAGCCGTATACCTTGTGTCCTACAGCCCTATAGAAAAAAAAAAACAGAACATGGGTGTCTTTGTAAAATAGTGGCTCAGCCAAACACCAAATTAGCAATGAACAAAAGCTTTCATCAACAATATCCCTTACTACACAAAAGACACCTTACTGTGGACTGCAAGATGACCGAAAAGATTTAATCTTGATTTTGAAGCAAAAAGATTCTCTTAGAAAACATCTTCAAAATAAAGTGGATAGTAATAGGCTGAAGGAATCCACAAATGAAAAAGCATCCAAACCAGTCGTAATCACAAAGATGCTTCTTTCGTTAAATCATAAAGGCCGATAAAACTGTTAAACTCTCTTGGGTTTTAAGTGGCGATTCCTGATGTTGAGTTCTTACCAGTTGTTGCCGGATCCTGAGACATCTGTAATGAGCTGCTTACTGTCAAACACTTCTCTCAGTGGTCCCTGGAGTATTTCATTGACAACACCTTCCTCCATGTCAATGAGAACAGCCTGGAGAAAAGGCGATTGCAGAAACTATGTGAGAACCCTGGTCACAAAATACACCGGGCATTAAAACACTACAGATAAAAAAAGAAAGGATGATTTTACCCTAGCTTTTAGAGAACTGATTTTTCCTCCACGAATACCTTCTCCGGCACTTGTCCTAGATACAGTATACACACAATCAATATTAGATTAGATAACCTTTATTAGCCCAAACTTGGGAATTTCTTTTGGCAATATTGCTTCACAACTTTCACCAATAAAAAAAAAAACATGCATTACAAGTGCAAAACAATACCATACATGTTACTCAAACATATGAAGTACTTCGAACTATGGACATTTTTTAAATGACAATAAGGGCTAGAATTAAAATTATACTGACTGAAGAACAAATGAAAAATAAGACAAATGCAAATGTAGAAGCAAGCTGTACAGTGACCGGGAAAACACATTTTAAAGTAAAATGATAAAAAAAACCTACCTGGTATCCACGTTCCTAAAGAAACTACTTAAGGCTTCATCATAAATCCCTTTCTAAAAAAAGAAAGATGTTCCTTAAAACACAAAGGCAATTGATATCATGACTACAAATTACATACATTTCAAAATGCAAAATATATTATTGATTTTTTTAGGTCATGCAGAAGAGGGAGATGAGATTTTAACACAACAGAGTTCTACTGCTTTCTCATATTCTCATAATATTTGGTAGATGCACTGAAAACTCAAGACTCCAAGTGTGACATAGTGTTTGGCAGGTCAGATACGAGCAGCTAATTATCATATATTCTTTAAATAGGTACTAGAGCTTTGTAATGTATACCGTACAAAGTCAAAAATGTACCCCACGTTCTTTAAACAGAAAAAGCTATTTGCACAAGTGTTATTCTGTGATTATTCTTCTATACAACAAATGACAGTACTTTCGTTGGAACAGGTTTCCAGAAGTAAAAGTACTGTTTTGTGTTCCTGGTTAGATTAGGAAGTGTGCAGTGCTGCAAAGCATTTGACAGCTACAGTACCTCCTAGTGAAGGCCTTGTTCATAATAACTGAGTGGCTTTTTACCTACTTATATTAATAAAAGAAATCTGGCTGCACAGTGATATGAGTTTTGACAAAAGTACATTTTAAACTGTGAGCACGTCTTTAACACACTATCTCCACTACATCTGCTTGCACACCAAGAATGCATTAAAGCTAAAGATGCAGTTATTTACCTTGTTCTGAAATTGAAATTAAGTACAAAATACACCTGTATCATCACAGAGATTAGATCAAATATTTCGATTATATTAGAAAGACACTAAATGTCAGGGTGCTGATAGCAGTAGTGAAAAGGAGGTGGATGCTGCACACTGGTGGTGGTGGTGGAGGAGGGGAGTCCCCATTACCTGTAAAGCGCTATATAAGTGTCGAAGAGATAGAAATCTCTATCTCACTAAATGTCAAAAAATAAAATCAACCACTGATCAGGATGACCACTAATCGTTTTTTAAAATTAGTTTTTTAAAATAAATTACACAAACTCCATGTGCATGTCTTTATACTTACTTTATTTACATGTGCGTGTTCCCGTAGAGCCAGGTCCCAAAATCTGCACCCCACCTGATTGCCACACTGTCCCACTGGAGGAAGAAATAAACACTGTAATTAACGAACAATCCAAGAATTAGCATAATAACTACAATTAGCCTGGGGACAGGGTTCGTAGAAGAATTGTAAATTTTACTACAAATCTAAAATCTTAAAGCCACTCGAAGCTGAAACTGATAAAAGGTGTAAATCAATTATGTTGTATTTGCTTCAGTCTCCCATAACTGAAGATGACGTCTGTGGAAAGCTTTTGAGGAAAACACTTGTTAAAAGCTGAATATTTGACCTACATGATTTAACGGTTAAATATTCCATGAGTGTGACTGGGAGTAAAGCTAGCATAATTAAACACTGTGAGCTAAACGTTATTCAAAATTGAAAATATGAAATATATACGTAGCGTTTATTGAAATCGCAGTACGATAATTTCATAACAGTAGTAGTTACTGTAGGACGACTAACAGTACTTTCCTTCGATTAGAAAAAAATAATAGCTACTTACCTTGCACTACAATAGACTGTGTCATCTTGGGTGAACTATTCACATGCACACACAAACAGAAAATAAACACATAATGATTAAATTTCTTCTACTTTATATCTACCGGTGAGGTACCCCTAAACTGAACGGCTTTGGTGTCAATCCTGGGTCAGATTATAGGACTACACGGAGTTTCTTTACAATATAATAACGTAAGCGCCAACACCGCTTTCTCGTTGCATTAAATCATATTCAATCTCGATTTACTTTACGAAACAGGGAGGCGATAAACATTCAGTTAAAGTTTCGGCGCCTCTGCACCTCTTCGAAAAAAAGTTTGTTGGTCGCTTCCTGATGACGTCTCCCTTAGAAACGAGAGACGCCACATTTCTTTCCGTTAGCCTTGGCGACGGCGCGAGATCGGAAGAAGAGAATGCATAGCAATTTCTTCAACTCCCTCGATAGTTCCGTCACTATCTTCCCACGCTTACTTTCCTGATGCTTAACACTGATATCTGGATGAATTTAGCATTCCCTTTTCTTGAATCAGAACTGAACAGAAATAGATCCGAGGCATGCTGCTGTACAGAACGTCGTGTGATGGTTCACAGTCACATCCCGCCAGATATGTGAGCAGCATAGACGGAGTGTATATTTAAATACACCGATCTAGACTGTATGCAGTGCACAAGTCCAGGTGAGGGCAGCTACAGTACATAAAACGTTATTATTTTAATACCATGGCGGTTATAAGACATTGCCCCACAACAGTTGCCTTTTAGAGATTTTGTTTTAGTATACTTTTCATAAGAACAGACGGGAGATTCATGCCTTGGGCATCATATGCTATTTTTTATATAAAAAAGGGATGGTTATGTTCATCCTGGTCTTCTGGACCTGGAGTGTCTGCGAATTTTCTGCGAATTTGTCCTCAAAGCACGAGCCCCAGCCCCACTGCACTGAGATCAGGTAGAGAAATAAGACATTCCTTTACTAAGGAACGAGTAATAGGTTTATTCCATGCTGAAAAGAGAAGAAAGTTATATTCTGGACTTTCTTCTCTTTTCAGCAGGGAATAAACCTGTTACTTGTTCCTATGCAGCCTACGCATGCTGACACAGCTGCCCACCTGAACTATTCCTTCACTAATTCATTCAAGGGGGTGCAAGCCCAGACTGGATTTTATCTGGGACACCAGGGCTAATACTCATGGTGTGATGTACAATGCCGTGGGATTTTTAATGATCTGATGTTTCATTTCATAGATGGTGTCTCCTACAGCACAGAGTCCCTAGTCACCATGTTAGGATGTTGGTTTTGATATTCTGGTCCAGAGAAAAGAGTGCAACCAACTGTTCCAGCACCACATACAGCAAAACGGGTGTTCCTTGGCAATCTGCTGTTCCAGTACTGACCAGACCCAGCTTTGCTCACTTATTGATATCTGAAGTGACCAGGTTAGAAAGTGTCTCCTTTCCTGTCAACATACCCGAACTGTCCATTTCCACTGTTTCACCTCAACTGTTAAGGTAGCCTTACAAAGCTTCTTCCCTTTATATGCTGCATTTGCAGAGTCTTACTTAGGCGTGTAATGATCACTCTAGCTCCCACAGCACCACGGCCAGAAGTCAATCAACCAACCTACTGTACCAACCTCCCACTCAATCACCCAATGTGCTCGTTCCCTTGACAACACGATCAGGTGGGTTGTCAATACCGCCCATCCAGTTCATCCCCACTTTGCCGACGTTGTTGTGTTCCATCTTGTGCTGTTCATTTGATAACGTTCAGGATCTTTGGATTCCTCTTTTGTTGTTCACTTCTGAGCTCTTGTTAAGTCCAAAGCCACACTCAGCCTCCTGCTGTCTTACTTTGTCTGTGATTCGGAAGTCATTCTAAATGCAGAACCACGAGGTTCTGCTGTCTTGCAAAGGCAGCAGGACATTTAATCTACACTTGTTTTGGCTCCTTAATCCCACCTTTCTTTTCCCACTTATGTGGTGCATATTAGTGGGACTTTGTTTGATAGCAGACAGAGAACAATGGGAATCCTTTACTTCCTGCTTCCATATAATCACTTGGCCAGTTGCCTTCCTTTGACTAGTCACAGGGTCGCATTGCCCACACCCTTCTAGGGAATGCTCGCCTTTCAGATGAGATTCGATTCGATTTGATTCAAGCTTTATTATCCAATGTGGGGACATTTGTTTTACAGCACACTCCCAACATAACAACACAATGGCAGACAGAATTGTACCAACCAAGACTTCTGTGCAACACTGTTACAGCAAGAGAAGGGAGAAGATAGTTCCGATACATTGTTTGAAAGAGATATTGCAGTGGGGGTGAAAGATTTCCCGTGTCTGTTAGTGTTACACCTGGGGACGCAGAGGGAGAACCCAGATGGAAGAAGTGTGAACTCGTGTTGGAGGGGGTGGGAGACACAATCCACAATACACTTTGCTTTCTTTGCCACCCTCTGTTTGTAGAGTACATTCAAGTTGATTTGATTTGCCCCAATTAATTTGCTACGTGTTTTGACGTTTCTGAATTTCCGCAGCCTACAATCAATGTTACTGATGTTATCAAACCAGCAAATGAGACAGTATGTTAAGACATGTTTAATAAAAGACTTGCAGAAAAGTGTTAGGATGCTTCTACCTTGCAATAGCTTGGTTTCCTTGGAAAAGAGTTGTCCTTTTTATAAATGGTGTTGCAGCATCCTCCATCTTGTTTGAACCTAGTGTCCTCCTAGAAAAGCTATCTAGTTACTCATGGTATGACTCCACTATACAGTATACTTGATTTACTGCTCAAAGTCAGCTAGTCCAGTTGATGAGCACTGTGATTAATTGTGATTAATTGCACTAATCAACTTTGACTTTATTTCTGTGAATCAGAATTAGCAGTCTATTTAGGTTTTCTCTTTTCAGTATTGTGAATTGGTAAGAGGTCATTAACATGCATTCCCCTTAATTCATCCCAATCTAGAAATATATTTGGTTGTCCAGATTGTGATGCCGCCTGTAATTCGTACATAGCATACCAAAAAAACAGTAACAAAAGGTGTAGTGGATTATAAAACATCGCTCTGCAGCTTTTCCCAAAATTAACCACTTACTTGTCAAGGGAAGTTTCTGAAAACATTTGATTTCCACTTGTTATCCATGATTATGAGTTGCTAAAGGATGCTCTATGCAATCAAATTACATAGTGCACAACTGGAAAACTATTTCTGCTATATACAATGTTGTAGTCCAAGGCAATTTAATCTTCCCCATCTAATCACCTGTTGGCCATAAATTCTCCAGGATTTCATGTGTTCCTTTTTGTCACGCCTATTGGTGATGAAGAAATGATGCTACCACTTGTTACATATCTCTGATTAAAATGAGACATACTGTACTGACATAATATAAAAAAGACATACTGAATCACATGGACATTAACCAGTAGGGTTGAGAGAGCCTTGTTTGGACAGCAATTCCTAAATGAGAGGTCCCGGTAATGACAATTTTCTGAATTAAAAAATACAACCATGTTGGCAAAATGTTCTGTGCAGAAATATGCAGCCTATATTGCAGATATTAGAGCACAAACATAAGGCCTGAAGAAAGAATGTGAGACACTATCAGCAGAGTGTTTGAAATGTGTGCAAGTAAACAGCTCACAAAGACAAGTGAGCTCTTCTTGCTGACACTACAACTTAAGTGTAATGTTTTCCTCTGTAATTAAAATTTAGTTGAATTTATACATATAGTAATATGAAATACTAGAATAATAGGATCTGTATCTGCTGTCAGTGCAGATGAACTTGTGCTTTGTGTACACAGAAAGGACGAGTCTTGTTAGATAACTTAGCTTGGTAGAGGTAGTACTACCTGAAAACTGAATGGGAAAGTCAGATCAGTCATCTGTACCAGACAGCTGTATGCCTACTGACTGCCCTTCTTTGGAGATCTAAAATTATACTGGTGTCTGCAAGGCTTAACACAGTGAGCCTTAAATGAGAACAAATGGAACATTTTCTCTCCAAGTCGATGCTTACAAATCAGTTTTTTGTTTATAAATGCTTTTTTCTCCCAGTTTTTTTATACAATTATGCAGCACACAATAGAAATGAAATGCTATTCTTTTTATTGTCCACACAAATGATAGGTTTAGCATATCTTTAAAGCAAAAATGACTGCATATAAATTTGCCTGGTGTTAACAGTAATACAGTGTGACAAAAGACATATTCAAAACACATAAAGGGTCTTCCCGTGTTTTCATTTTAAGTAAAAAGGGCCGTGGCATTTTTGCTTTATATTGTGATTTTAAGTGATGATGCTGGATCTGCACTTATTTTAAAGAAAAGAAAATCTAGCTCTCACTGCAGCACCAGTAAAAATGGAAGATTTTTGCAAGGGAATATAGTAAGAAATTCATGATGTAGTAATGGCCATGAAGGAGAAATTAAAGTTACCCAATTAATCAGTGTATTGAAACTCAAAAGATCTACAACAACTTTTAAAAAAAAATAATCTATGGCATGTTTTCCACTGATAAACCTGTATAGAAACATCTCTGAGCGTCACGAAAAAGAAATGTCTCCTCCCCCTGAAGGAAATTAGGGATCTTTTACAGTTTTCTTTTTAAATTACAAAGACTCGACAGCCAGATTATGAGAATTACAAAATGATTATTCAGGATGATAGGCTGCGCTCTGAGAGCCAGAAGTCTTTGGTATTCTTTAATCGATGCAGGCGTAGGGAACACGTGCAGTGAAGATGCCATTTTATTCTCTTGCTCAGGGAGACAGTAGAGAGATAGTAAGACCACACAGGTCTGGCTGTGCCTTGTGGCCGCAGTGCTGTGGGCCTTCTGCTACTCCGCTGGACAGGAGCCGACACCGACAGCTCCGCTGACGAGGGCAGCTTTGCCGAAGCTCACTGGTGTCTCGTTGACTGCCAGGCTCCTCATGCAGCCTGTGTACGGCCGGTGGGTGACCAGGCTTTGTGGAAGCAGAGATGCTGGAACACAAGAACGTGTACAGTAACACAGTTTTAATGCGCAAAAACCGTGTGGAATACTACTGCATATTATCATAACAGAGAGCAGCAGTATAAACACAGACTGTTAGGAAAAAGTAGTCAAAGGCGTGTTATTGAGGTTAATTTATTCTTGTGCTCAGCTACATTTTTACTTTTATTGGGGAGTCGTAGATCAATTATTTTTTAAGTAAGGCCTCACTCCTCATTTGTACTAGTTCACATACAGTTTGTTTATAATTTTGTATTAGCTTTAGCCAGTGTGTATTTTATCATTCTATATGATATTTCTCAAAATGACTGTATAACTGCAGAACTCAGTACTTCATGTTGGTATATTTAGTCACGTAGTTGGAAGAGAATTATATTATTGCTGCACCGAACAATTTATTTCACAATTGATAATATTCCTTTGCCTGGAATTCTTCAAAATATACTCTAGCTGTTTTTCCAAAACGAAAGCTTTCCATCTTCTGCATGTTTAGCAGATAGTGTGTCATGTTTCAAGGACAAAAATATTAGCGATCTACATGTATTTGGTGTTACAATAGTTTAATCTGTTCTGAAAGTTGGACATCAGTAACATCCTGACAACCAGACAACACTAAGCCTGATTCAAGGGAGCTGCAGCTCAGTGATAAGTTGCACATGGACAAAAGTGTGGCACTGTGAACTGACCTGGTGCTCCTCCGATAAACACTGGGGTTCTGCTGTCAACTGCTCTGTGGTTGAGAGGTCCGACCACGTGGTTCACCTCAGAGTCCACATCCAGCTGCACCACGTTGGCATCTCTGATAACTAAAGGGACAGCGTTGTGGCATTTAGCACAAATATAGAAAGAATCTATAAGGAGAAACGGGAGGCACTGTGGCATGATAGTCAGGAGGTGAGCTGTGGCCTCTCAGCTTCTGGGCTCAATGTTGGATGAGCTTATCTTGCCTGTGGAGTTTACAGATCCTCCACATGGCCACATGGTTGCTCTCTGGGTTCTCCAGTTTCTTCCCGTCGTGTTCAGGTTAACTGGCATCTCCAAATTCTGCCTCACTGTGACCCTGCACTGGGCAGGCATAACACTGACATCCACTCACAGCACATTTCTGGATCTCATGATCCTCAGTGATTGCCTTCCACTCTTTTATTTCTTCCCACGCGTGTTTGTGGTTCTACCTCTGCCTGTTTGTATTTTTCCAAACGCCTCATCCCCGCGATCAAGATGTCATTTCCCTCACCTGCAATCCTGTGCCATCGGCCATCACAGAGGCTTTGCTTCGGAGTCACACGAGTTGCAAATTCCCGGATTCCGTTGTTGACTTGAACAACAACCTGAAGAACCAAAACCAAACGCTAGAAGTTAGTGTCTACTGATATTTCCCTAGAATAACTCCACAAAACATGAAATAAAAATTAATTTCCCACTAATTTAATTAAATAAGGTAATAACTAAAGAAAATGGACCAAAGATACACATTATTATTTATTAGTACTAACAATTATAAAGGAAGATAAATACATACAGTACATTAAAAAACATATAACCACTTATATATAATAATACATGAATAGCCGTGGGCTGAACTACTTGTTTAACAGTAAAACTTTTCTTATTAAAACAAACATAAATTACAATGTTACAAATGACTGAAAAATGAAAAAGAAAATAATACGGCTCTATGGAACATCGACAGGTGATGATAAACTGTATTATAGTAGGAATGAGTGACGAAATAATAATGTTATCAGGATTTGAGGCAGATGACTGAGGATGCATAGAAGACAAGCTATTATGATATAAAATTCAGAAATTGACTAAAGATCTGAACAGGCTACAATAAAGATCTGAACAGGCTACTGTACACAACAAACAAGACGACAATACGACACGCAGGACTGGCAATACACACGTGGTTTGACAGGCTTTAGTTGATGTGAAAATTCATGAAATGTACAGGAAAAGGGTATTCATTTTTCTAATGATTAAAGAAGAAAACTAACATTAATCTAACATTCCTAAGACACCAAGCTGTTTACAGTATACTCATAATAACCCACAGTTGTGGCAACAGTTGTTGATAATGTTCTGTGTGGCCAATAGCCTACCCCAAGACCCTATTTCATGTATTTTATGCAGACATTTATTAAGAAATATGAAACAAAACTTTCCCCTTTATAGAGAATTAAGGTACAATCATAACTAATTATAATAATGACGACCTTTACAAGTTTACTTCATGATGTGTTCACAGTAAAATGGTCTTTCCAGGATGTTTGCAGAGCATTCATCAATTTGTGATACAAACAGAGCTAATAATCACTGGGTTTAAGAGTAGGTGCTCAGTCCCCTTAGCAGATAAACCTAATCAAAGGGTAAAAGATCCTGCATGATAAAATCTGATGTGTGGTTCAGCTTTATGTGTACATTGTGTACAGAACTGATGCGATTTATCTTTTAGTTCATGTAAAAGGAGGATTGTGCATCACTGCAAGCATGTTGCTGATAACAGACTGACTCAATTTTTGGCAAATCTCACTTGACACCATGGTAATCGGTGAAACCATATAACCATCTCCCTGTTATTCGTAACACAGCAATTGCAGAAAACATATATCACCACACAACTGACAACCCACTGAAGCTCTGCAGGTGTGAGCCTGGTCGGTACCTGGATGGGAGTCTCCTAGGAAAGCTAAGGCTGCTGCTGGAAGAGGTGTTAGTGGGGCCAGCAGGGGACGCTCACCCTGAGGTCTGTGTGAGTCCTAATGCCCCAGTATAGTGACAGGACACTATACTGTAAACAGGCGCCATCCTTCAGATGTGACGTAAAACCAAGGTCCTGACTCTCTGTGGTCATTAAAAATCCCAGGGTGTTTCTCGAACAGAATAGGGGTGTCACCCCAGCATCCAGGCCAAATTTCCCTCTCCCCTTTACCAATCATGGCCTCCAAATAATCCCCATCTCTACACTGGCTTCATCACTCTGCTCTCCTCCCCACTAATAGCTGTTGTGTGGGGAGCGTTCTGGCGCACTATGGCTGCCGTCACATCATCCAGGTGGGGCTGCACACTGGTGGTGGTGGAGGGGAGACCCCATGACCTGTAAAGCGCTTTGAGTGGAGTGTCCAGAAAAGTTGTAAAGAATTATTATTATAACAAAGTGCACTTTGTTAAGCCATTCCCGCTCTTTTGCATCGACTGTATGTGAAGGCGGAGTCTGTGCTCTTACCTGCCCTTGGTGAAGGTGCATGTTGAGGTAGTGTCCTTCAGCAGTGTACAAGTGCAGGAGCACCCCTGAAGGAGCTCGGGGACGCACTTCGAATACCAGCTCAAACCTCAGTCCCAGGTTGTAGGAGTCATCTGGAGCAGAGGAAAATAATATCATGAAAAAAATACACCTCTGTGATTGTGTGGAATTCTGTCTCTAACGAAGAAAGAGCAGCATATCTGGAAGAAACAGTGTGCAACCATGAAAAAGAAAAGCACGGACAGTGTTCTGTGTTTGTTTCAAGGATTTATCTCTTCATCATTTGGAGGTTCAAGTCTCTGGTGCAAGACTATGACTTAAATAATGTCCACTTTTCTAAGGAGGTGTTTAGAAAAGTTCACTCCATCTAATTTAGAATATATAGAAGTGCAAAATTAACGTTGTGTAAATTCTCCAAAAACAGAAAACTGTTACTAACACCTAATTAATTACAGTGAGGGCTCACATAGTCTATCCCAGCAGAACACATCCACTCTGCCAACCTCTCCGTCAGACTGACAAGTTTATTTAAACGAAAGGAATAGATTCATTTTTGGTTATATTCACAGTTTTGTGTATATTAAACAGGTTTATGTTTTCACGAGATAGTGTGAAAAGCTTACTTTAGCACTGGACTAAAGCTGCGCATTACCCAAAACTAAGTATCCCCCATCCTCTGAGAAATACGTTCCGGATTCAGAAGGTTCCTCAAAACAAGGTGTGACGCCAAATGTCTGTGTGATTGAAGACATCCATTCTCCATTCAGCTGGAAGTCCTTTATACAGCCAGTGAAGCTGTATACAGAGCTTTTCTGAAAGACAGCAACGCAGAGTAGAAGTCGTTCAATGTGCACATTATACCCTTGCTTACAAAATTATAGTGTTTCAGGTTCTGCTGTTTTAAGATTTTAATGTTTGTTCTTCTGTTTTTGTAGTAGGGTATACCCCGTCTAAAAACATAGCTTTCATTTAAATAAGCCATTCTGCAATAAAGAATAAAGAGCACCATTTACGAGAAAATGTTCAAGAAATGTTTATCTTAATGTACATTTAAAATTCTGGAAGAGCCTTGCTGGCACAAAAGAAAAAATACTTCATGTGTATCTTGTTATTATGACACAGTAAATATGTCAATTGATAGTAATAAGACAATTCGCTACCTTGTAATAACAAGATAATTTTCTTGTAATTACAAGATACACGTGCAATATTTTTTCCCTCGATGGCAGCAATGCTCTTCTGTCTACCATGGACCCTAACAAATTAGATTTGAGTTTCCGCACTTAAAAAAAAACATCTCTTTTAAAAAAGAAAATGACTTAATGTTAATATCTGAATATTCAACATTCACGAACAAACATCTGTTGAATCCACCTACGTACTGAGTTACATTTTTATTTTCTCAGTCTTCTCCCCCCTCTACAATGACCTTTTAAATGACTGAGGAAGAAATACTCGTTCCGGAATGAAAGTAACGCTCTTTTGATACCAACAGAAAAAGTAGAATCTTTCATCTTTAATTGGCTAATTTTGTTTTGGAATAACCAGAATCGCTGCTTATGATCATAATTAGTACGACTAAAGAACACTTCTACAGTAGTTTTGGTGTTGGAATGTGAAATATCACAAGCAGAATGCCACGTGCTCTGCCCGATACGCTGGACTGTTGTCTTGCTGGATAAACAGTACCTGTATGTTCTTCAGCGCTTTCCCAGGTGGGACCCCCCCCACATAAAACGGGCCAGCGACGCGCCAGAGGGTGTCAGCTGTAGGGATGCGCTCCTCCAGCACTCTGAGACCATCAATAATTAAACGCCCTTCATTTCCACTGCGGGTAAAAATAACCTGCGGGATGAATCACAGTAATGGGGAGGAAAGAGATTATGTCCACTGACCTGCGCAGAAGGAAATCCATCATTCCCAATGCATTCCATTTAATATTAAAATGTATTAAATATAGATAATCCATCAAAGATACCCAATCTATCTACTTTAGACCTATTAAGTCATTTGCTGGTGGTAGAATCTCTGCCAATGAATATTCAGGGAGATTGGCTTACGTTGTGCCACATGCCATCGTTGTATTTCTCCTGGCTTTTGATTTTCAGCTTAGAGCTTCCAGCGTTGAAGGTGTAAATTAATTTCCCGTGAGCGAGGAACAGAGCCATGTAGTTGTCCTCCGCCTCGTCTGACACATAGAAGATCAGCCCAAAGGAGGAGTGAGTTCTCAGGCTGAGGGAGAAGTGGGACCTACAGGCCAGAACACAGGAATATCAGCAAGTCATTACCCATGCAAACAACAGATCTTCTGGGTTTTGCCCACAGATTAAGGAGAGTTCCCCAGAGCTGCCAGAAAGCAAAGGGGGTGTATATCATGAGACAGCCCCCTTTTTCAAGTATTTCCTTGTTTACAGCCTTTTCATTCCATTGCTTGAAGTACAGACGACAATGCCGCATTGCATTTTAAGGCACATCTTTCCTACAAGCGACAAGCTGTCGCAACAACCTGATAATGCTTAGTGGAAACTCTGGGGTATAAATGAGAAGGGGTTTTAAAATGATAAAGTGTCCAAGCCATCTGGTCAGACCGGAGCGGTTCTGTGGCAGAAACACAGTCACCTTTCATTGAAGAACTGAGGAATGCGGCCATACTCCTGGCGGCTGTTTGCTATTCCTCCATAGTGATGAGCGTGAAGGGTGGCTCTAGGCTGGCTTGACAGATAGCAGTGTGTCTTCTCTGACCCGGGGTGTTCTTCTGGGCTGATCTTCAAGCTGATGGGATCGTGTGGAATGCTCAATTTGTCTCTACCCACCTTTTAAAAAAAAACACATTCAGTAAGCATTGAAATTCCATGGCTGTTTAATTCCTTTTTCATTTTTGTAGTTGCCAATTACTTGTTTTATCATACCTGTTTTATTCTAAATTTGGAATCACAAATTTTGTATTGATGTCTCGGCCCTCTGGAATGACCTCTGTAGCCCAAAAGACCAGAGAATGAGAGAGCCACTTGTCTTTTGTTATACTGCAAGCTTTACTGCAATATGCAGAAGGTACAGCGACAACTGGAAAAGACGTGTGTTGCTCTTGATGTCACTGCAAGCCTGTAGGTGCCTGGCAAATCGCGGGGGTCATTAGGGTACCTTTTGTAGCTTCTCCTCTAGAAAAAGGACGAGAAAGCGGGTCCTAATAAGAGCTGCGGAAATGCACTCCTGTCTCCATCCAAGTCCGTGATGACCCTCTGGTAATAATCACTTCCTTGTCAGGTGATCACTAGGAACCTGCAGACTGAGCTGCTCCCATTGCGATTAGCTGCTTGCCAAGGGACTTGGAAAAAGTGGTGAGGATGGAGGATTGTGGAGAAAGGAGATCTTGTATTGTGGAGAATGGAGAATTGAGAATTGAGATGGACACCAAAGCAGCCGGAGGACTAAACCTGCTGCAGCTACAGAAAATCCATTGAAATATTCCTGATGGTACATCCTTTTTTTTACCAGTTCTGCCGCTAACAGCTTGGTTGCCACAGCCCTCTTTGCTAACCTAAGCAGTTACTGGACCGAACTAGTCATTCACCCTGTGGATGCTGACTACCCGTTTCTGTAGCTAAGGATGTGGGATTGGACTCTGAAACCCATTCAATCCATTAGTAGTACAGTATCTCCATTAGATTAGATAGACCAGAAATCCTACAACAGATAAACGTACGATATGTTAGTACAAGCTGGTGGTGATATCTGTTTTTACCTTCTTTGTCTTGCCCTTCTTTGATCTGGAAGTATTTCTTCCTTGTTTCAAATGTAGTGCAGCAGGGGGTTTCTCAATTGGACACCCATACAGTGAAGTCTGGACTTTCTCGGTATACTTGAGAAAATCTTCGACTTCTATATCTCTGTCATGCCTACAAGGTAGAGAGCACTGTTATGCTCTGGTAATTATCTTAAACACAACAGCTTCGTTTCCAAGGCAACATTCCCAGCATTTAAAGCAAATAAGCCTGCATTCTTAGCCACATCATTATCTGCATAATTCATCAAATCCAACTAAAAAAACATATTTAGTCATTACTGAGATGCAAACCATTCAAGCCAATCTGGTCCACTGCTGTAAACATTTATTTTACTTTTGTTATTCATAAATAAAACCCCTATTTTTTTAACATATGAGGGTTGTGATGTAAAAACTATCTACTGTATAATGTGCTCAATGATTCATGAACCACATACCTGCTAAAGTATGCATTGCTAATGCAGCCCGTGAAATTCAAGAACTGACTGCTTGGTGTCCCTCCAAAATAGAATTTGTTTGGTGCTGAGGCTGCTGACTGTGAGGAACCTGCATGACTTCTGGCTTGTTTATCTTTGTCATCAACTATCAACTGATACCTAAAAAAGATGCAATTATAAAACAAGACAAAGAATCATTTAAATAAAAACAGCAACACTGACAATGACAACAGCAGTTGTTGAGAAACAGTCGTTGTTGAAGTAGTGTTAAGTGGGTAAAACATAAAAATAATGCAAGGCTTACTTTTCAGGTGTGACTGATGCTACAAGAAAATGAGTCTTCCCATCACTGTAATGCTTCTCATCAGACTGTACTTTGACTCCTTTGGAATTAAGAATGATTGCTCCGTTTTCCAATGAGATGGCAAATTCATCAGGCTAGCAAAGAATTATATAAAGTTGCTTTGGTTTATTTTCACAAGGAATACATACAGTATAAGACTTTTCTGAGTAAATATTTGCATGTTGAACTCCTATTATACATATATTGCTGGTTCAAGCATGAGCCGAATGAGCACTGCGTAGGGTTGGGCGAGCTTAAATCGGTCTTCTGTCTGCCTCACAAGAGCAAAGCCCTGTGACTTTCAGGGGACCTGGGAGCTTGCCATGCAGCCACTGAATCCTGCATCATGCATCCAACTGATGCTAAATGTCGTGCAAGGCACTCTGAAGCTGCTCTAGTGCAAACCAGCATATGCCTTTGAAAAGATGCCTGTTTAAGTGTATAGTGTGCAGTGTCGTGTGATGGCTTGAGAGTGTACCGCAATATTCAGCCCAGCCCATGGTAAAGCATTGAGACTAAAATGGCACTGGAACAGTAGAGGGATGTTGAGAAGAAAAAGTGACGTACCCCGTTACTGTGGTAGAAAAGAAGCCCATCGGACTGCAGGGTTCTGAAATTAAAGCCTCCTTCAAAACTGTGAAATGGAGAAATTTTTGCACTGGAGCTCAAGAAGCTTTCCCCTTTGAAATATGCTTGATGGGACATCTGTCAAAGATTAGAAATAACAGAAATAGCAACATGAAACAACATTAAAACAACCTCTCTTTAAAGCCTTGAAAATAGGCCACAAGAAAAACTTCAATTTTTGAATAGTGATCTATTAACAGAACGTTATAAACAATATCCTGCTCCTGACTGTAGTTAATGGCAAAGCCAATAGTAAATAGTAAAGTAATAGTAAAGTACAAAAACAGTAAAAAACAATAAAAGAAAATCAAATTATTACATTTTCCTCCAGCTTCTAAAGCTTATAATGTGAGCATCTGTAACAATGTAAAACTCTGTATTTGAAATACCTGTCTCTTTTGCTCAACAAAGCTTAATACCTGTAGGTGTCATTTAAGAATGGCTTCCAAAATCCAATCCAAACAGAAATTTGGTTTAATTTGCATAAAATCTCGGCTACTTTAGGCAGACAGAACTATTTTAAAAGTTTTTTGTAAGTTACTTATTTAAAGCATTTTAAAATACTGTCTCACTTTTTGGTTTGGTAACATCATCACCATTAATTGTAATCGTCTAGGAAGAATAGTGAATGTACTGTAAGCTGCAAAATCAATGGGGCAGATCAAATTAACCTAAATGTCCTCTGCAGACACTGGGGCCTAAAGAAGGCCAGGAGCATTATTGGAGTGTGAGGTACACCGTCTCCACTGTGAATTTACACTGCTCTTACACTGTGGGAGATGCTTCTCTGTCCCCAGGTATAAAGGTAATAGACACAGGGAATCTTTTATTCTCTCCAATCTCAGTCTCAAACAATGTAAAACAATGCTTATCTCCTGAAACACTCTTGTGCTATATCATTTGTTGATGATGTTTGTCTGTTTTTGTTTTATAGCTGTGTAGGACTCTGCTGTAAAACACATTTCCCCCAGGGGAAAATAAAGCTTTAATTGAATTGAATTAATACATAATGGGGCATGCAGTTTAGGACTGAGAGGATATTTAGGACAACTGAAACAATATTTTTGTTCTTCCTTCGGTGCCGCGGAAGAACGTGCTCCGGGATAAAGGACAGAGCCGATTTCAGGAGAGTGGCGTTGCTTGATTTTATTATTGGGAACATTTGGTTAAGTATTCGGTGACCATGGTGTGCATCTGTTTTGTGTGTGTGTCTCTTGCGGAAACTTTTCCTCTAATAATATTTTAGTTCTCTGAAATTGTAAGCTACAATGGTGAGGTTCTGACTCTCCTGTGCTGGCCTGTGGGTGCACTGGTGGTGCTGTGGGATACAAAGAACCTGTTGTGTGTAGAAGATTCCTAGCTCCTTAAAATTGCTAGATAGTGTAGTTGGCTGGAAGTATTCTCCTAATTGTGGTGGTCACCTATGAGATCCCATATACTGTCTATGTGTATGTGTGCGATATAGCTGTGACTCCTCATACAGTCTATGCAACACTAATATTATTGGACACACGTACAAATAATTCCTCTGGACACCCATAGCTGATTCCAATGCTGCCTGGCTCCTCCAGCAAGTTGAAGTCCTTCTTCTGGAACTGGAAGCCTCTGAGACAACCTTTCAGGCCCACAAGCGCAGCTAGTTCAGGTCTGGGGCAAGAATAGCAATCGAAGCAGAAACGTGAAGCGCAGCATAGAAATAACAACCTGACATTTTGAAAGCAGTGTGTTAGACTGGGCTTCCTGCCACAGGCTTGCTTGGGAGAACTTGGCACACCCTTCTGAGTCCCGTGGAGTCATGTGACGCTTTTCCCACATTAAGCCCAGCAAGCCCACGGGACAGATAGTGCTGAGTTCACCATGTCCTGATGACACTCGATGATCAGTTTGGTGCCACCACTCAGGCCATCCTGGCCACTGTTGGCTACACTCACATGACCAAGGATGGGCAACTGAACTCTGAACAAGTTCACCTTTACCACAGGTGACACTCAAGAGCACTGCCTCCCTAGCTTGATCAATCACTTCTACTCAAGTAATTTAAAAAGCCAAGTCCGTTACGTTCCGGTTCCGCGCGGGCTCGTGCCCTCTGCCGCCCGTTTCGTCCTGCAACACCTGGGGCGCGAACCCGGGTCTTCGGCGTAACGCAACAGGGAACCAGCCGCGTGAGCTAAAGGAGACCCCCCCCAGTCCAGGCGGCTGAGCACCCTGCTACGTGCAGGGAGGGCGATGACGTCACCGTGCCCGAACGAGCTCCGCTACATACTCTTCAGAGCACTTGAAATCTTGCTCTCAGCACAATCCAAATTACTGGACAGGTCCCTTCCCTTTGTCAGCTGTTCAATGCAATTAAAACTCATGACACAGCTAACCAGGCACAGGAAAACATTTCAGTTCTGTATCTTGCTCTCGAAATACATTACCAGAATTTACAAAGGATTTTAATTGTGAAATGCTTTTCACTTGAAATATCATTAACACGGGTAAGTGAAAATAGTTCTAATGAAGCATGTACGGATAGACAGATACTGTATTGATCTGCTCGCGTGAGGGACAATAGAAAGCGTTGATGACTCTGCTCTCTGCTGAGTGGCTTTCTAAGATGCAGTTTGAAAAAGGTTTACCTGGACATTAAGATGCTGGAGGGAGCTCCTCCAATATAGATATCTGAGAAAGGCATTTGCTTCTGCTCACTCTCCAAAGTTTTTATATGGCTTCTGTCCACCAGTAAAATGACTTTCTTTGACTGATGATAAATGACAGAAATCTGAAAGAGAACAGGGTGGTTTCATTCATTATGAAGCCAGCGTGCTATGCTATACATAGTACGTACATCCTACATACAGTACAGTATGTACTGTGCAATATTAACCTTTAAACACAAATGCATTACTTCAACGAGACTGAAGACATTGCATAAAGCACTGAATATATGATACTTATGTCTTTATACAACACATGTGTCAAAATGACAACTTGGACATAATGTTCTAAATTACCTCGTGAGATCTTGCATCATTAATTCGCAGTTTTGTTGAGTTGCTTTCCAGGGTAACAGGGCCCTTGCTGAACCCAAAGTCATAAACAAGGCTCAGGAGGCCATCTTTTATCTCAAGTATGAAGAAATTGGTCTGGAAAAACAATGGGAGAGACTTGACATTGGTTTTTTAACAGTTCCCAGCTGTATTTCCTGGAGCTGCTTTCTAGCAGAGCCAGACTAAGGTCCTTACAGCCTCTCTAGCAGAAGCATTTTCATGGGTGTAGAGATTTCAATCGGTAGATGGGTGATCAAAATGATCTTGAATATTATTTTTCAGATAGCATATCCTTGCTTTACATATATTTATTCAAGATGAGATCTTTGTTACAGCTTGTATCATAAAACAAAAACATTGTTAGATTTTGTTCTTATTTTTTCCATGAAACCTACTTTGCCTATTGGGCGATACAGTCCATTCTGTTAGTAAATACAGTAAATGTTAAATGTATAAGTATTTTTTTCAAAAGCAAAAAGTTTACAGTGAAGAGAGGTTCACAGGAAACTTTTATTTCATGAATTCCTTTCCTAAAACAGGCACAGCCTTTCATCTCGGTTTACATCCCATTACGTGACCATAGTAAAAATGAGAATAAAGTATCTGGCATTGCACTTACCCCATTGACCATCAACAAGAGAAGACCATTGTCCACCACGGTTCTCACTTCAAAGTCAAATCGTGTTACAGCTCCAAATTTTCCCCTTCTTCCAATATTGTTGATAAGAGCAAAGCCAGTTCCGTCAAAAAGGTAGCTGGTTATTTTGCTCTGTGCAAAAGCAAGTTTGTTTCTGCCAGAACAGAAATGGAAAGAAAAGTACAGTAGGTATGATCAGTAGGAAGACAAGACAACTTCAGGGCTTTGTTTTCATAGATGGTGGTATAACTGAAGGTTTTTTTTTTCCTCTGATGAAAGAACAGAGAAAAATCAAATGAAACGGTATTTGATTTACCTGGGACAAGGAGGCGTGGCTGTGGTGTCAACATTGTGTGTTTGCTTGAAGTGGTACAGGCTGACCACCTCATTGTTCATGGTGCCCAACTCAATGCATCCAACAAAAGCGGGAAGGTTCAGACTGGATGGCAGCTAAACACAGAGAAAGAAAAACTATTCATGCTTGCAGTTGTGAGTGAGGTGAATGTTGCGGCCGTTGAGGAAGATAACTGCCGAGAAGCAGTGATTGCAAGCTTTGAATTAATTAGCACCTTCTTGGGCACTGAAAATGCTGTGACTAGCCTGGAGCTTTCCTGAGAATACTGTAGGCTTTCTTTTGGCACACCGTTAACCTATAAATTCCTCAAGAAAAGCAGAAAAACCTCACCTTTGATGCTAGTAAAATATGCTCAAAATAGACTGATCCTTTAACACATGCTATCAGAATCCATAGATGCTTTGACTCTGAGTTCAGGCTGTACTGTACAGGTACATACTGTGCTGTACATGTCTTTGATGTACAATATATACCACACAAATGTCTTGAAGGTACAGCATTTTTTTAAAAAGGAAGCAGCAAGAGTGAAATGTCCTAAGTATGTGTTTAAAGGATCCAACAAAATAACAGTCAACTTTTTAGTGGAAGAACATCTGCACAATTTAAAGTACAGTATTGCTTTATACAACCATATGCAACAGAATCAAAAAGATTTTAAAGATATTTGAAAAAGATGTTATCATTGTTGTTGTTGTTGTTGTTGTTGTGTTGGTGGTGGTGGTAAATAATAAAGTGTGAAATTGTGTATGATGTGTGTGCCCCAATGCCAAGCCGGACCGACACTCGGGGACACAGAGGGGCCTTCTGTCCTGTGATTATACAGTATCTGGGTGTGAAGAGGCCCAGCCGCACTGCAGGTGGAGCAACAGCTGTACCCTGAAGTCTGGAGGAACGCCCCCGACAAAGAGGACCGTGTTGTCAGGGTCCAGGTCAAACAGGGACTCCACCCCAGGAGCTTCCCCCTTCTGAATGAACTTCTGCTCGGCCGTGCTCCTGACGGTGCTCGGTACAGTGAAGAACACCTTCCCATGTCTGCCGAGCCTGCCGGAAGACCAAGAGTGTTGTCACGATCTGTCAGAGTCTCACCCTTATCAATCTGGCACCTCTTCTTGTTGACAAAGGGGGGTGTGTCCTAGAGCTACTTTGGTCTACTCAAGGCAAGAGTGAAAGAGAGAAGCTGGGGGTCTTACAAATCTAGCACAGTACACAGAACTGCACTGGGAAGCTCTGGAGACGGACTTATACAGTACTTAACAAGAACAGCTAAAAACAACAGGACGCCATTCAGCCCAGCTACCTGTAGGTCATTTGATCATAAGTATCTCATTCATCCAAAATTCACGTCTGGTTATTTGTTGAAAGAAGCTAAGGAATTGGCTTGTTTCAAACTCCCACCACTGTTGGTGTAAAGATGTGCGGCACTTCCCTGTCGATTTCACGTGTATCCTCTCGTTGGGCAAGAAAGATAAAATTAGCATTACATAAAGATACAGCATACTTAGCCTTGATCTTGAGTATTGAAGTTTCTGAACAGCCTTTTCAGTAATACCTTTCCCAGATGTTAAAAACAGCATAATAGCTATATACTGTATATTAGTCTTTTTTGGAACTATACCCATATATGCTTTACCCAGACCTAGTGGAAATTCAATAAAAACAAAGGTTTTACGGAATCTCTGGCACATGATAAATATCAATACACTTACCTTTCCACTTTCACAAGGTTGAAAGAAGGGGGCCAAGTACTGACAGGCTTCGAACTCAAGGGGATTTCGATATCACCACCTCCAAGATTGTAGATGTAGACCAGGTTATTGTTCTTGATAGCAAGGCCCATATAGTCCTTTCTGCCCTGTGAAAAGAAAAGGTAACGGGCTTCCAGCATGAATTTTTCCTATGATTTGTTCATAGGTAACAGAATTGCAAGCATCAGGATGGAATATTTACTGATCTTCTTAAATTATGAATCCTATTATCTACAAAGTGGTCACTGAAATTTGAGTTTACAGTATGATTATTGGTATTTGTACCCCATGTTTATGCACAGTAATGCATTTTTCCCGTGACCAGTGTATTCTAACACAAACTGCAGCAAATAACCTTAGAATTAGCTTGGAGAGGTATGAGTAATTAATTACAATGTATCCCAATTTCTTCCAGGGGTTGGGGTGCATTAGCTTCCAAACTCATATCAACACAACTCCCCTGCTCAGTCACATGCAGGCTTAGAATGCACCATTTGAACTGTTTCCTGCGATACACTGTGAAGCCTGCAGTGTGTCAGGAGATGAATGACTGGCAGGCAGGAGGTGTTGGAGGAGCATGTCTGCAGGGCCTCAAAGGTTAGGGTCTAAAGCTAATATTGCAATGTAATGGACACCCTTCTTGACAATCTCCTCCTCATATGGGCTGTTCTGACCTGAGCTCACAGAGATTTATTTGATACGATCAATCACAAAATTGCCCAATTAATTTAAAGGTATGCTGGTGGGAGGCATGGTGGCACAATGGCTGGCATTGCTGCCTCACAGCGCTGGGGCCCTGGGTTCAATCCCAGAACTGGGGTTCTGCCTGTGGGGAGTTTGCATGTTCTCCCTGTGCTTGCGTGCTCCAGTTTCCTCCCTGTCCAAAGACATGCTGGTAGATGAATTGGCTCCTGGTGTGAGTGTTTGTGTCTGTATTTGTGTCAGCCCACTCTATGATGGACTGGTGTCCCATCCAGGGTGTACCCTGCCTTGCAACTGTTGCTTGCTGGGATAGGCTCCAGCTCCCTCGCAAGCCTGTATTGGTTAAAGGGGTTAAATGTTTATATATAATACATGTAAAATAAATTGGATAGAAAAAGATAAAAATGAAGATTAAAGAGGCAAAAATTAAGATTATTGCATTTGTTGAGAGGTACTGTCTCAAAGTCTTTGCATTGGGATACTTTTAAATGGGTTCCTAGATACCGTACAAAGAACATGTATTTGTTGCTTTACTGTGACTACACGTTGTGAAGGTCCGTAATCAAGTGAAACTTTACACGTCTGTGAAAGACCTTTTAAGTTGAGACTTACATTTTTATTACCCAGATAGAAGATGAATCTGTTTTGCACAGGCTCCTTTTCAGTTTCTATCTTCATGTATAAACTTATGGAAGTGACAGTCTTCAGCTCTTCAAGGTTTGTCTGAGGGTGGACTTCAACAGCTGTCTGACCATCAAACTTCATGGAGACCTGGACCTGATTTACAAAGAAGGAGAAAACATTGTAATGTTGGCAATGTTTCTCCAAAAGGCAATGGCTGTTTATCCCTAACTGCCAATTACCTTACAATATATCTGATTCAATATATATTACATTTAATTTCACCTCCACCAAAAGTTGTCTCTTTATTAGCATGGTGACATTTACAAAGCCCACTACACTGAACTAATGGTGAAGACTGAGCAAGACCTGTGTAACCTATGAATTTTCAAAAGTAAATTTTAAAGTTTCCATGCACTCTGTGTAGACGATATAGCTTTTCAGGGGGTTGTAATAAAAAAAGGAACAAATACAAATTCATTTCACACTGATTTTGGCTGTTGAGCCTTCTTCAGGTGTGTCAGCAGGCAAAACTTTGCCTTGCTTCCTTCGACTTTTCGGTGTGGAATTAACCTTTACTTGTTCCTTTGCAGCCAACACACGCTGACACAGCTCCTCACTCCAACATCTAGAATTGATCAGTGAGAATGTTTTGCTTTTGTTGTTTTGCAGCTGGGATATGATGCTGGCACGATGGTTAGCATTGATGTGTTGCTGCACTAGAGCCATAGGCTCAAGTCCAGACCTGGGCTACTATCCGTGTGGAGTTTCCATGTTCATGATCAGCTGGGTTTCCTCCAGGACCTCTGGATTCCTTCCACAGTCAAACGACAAGCCATTAGGTTAACTGGCTTCTGTAAAATTGGCCTTGGTGTGTGTGTGTGCGTGCCTTGCGATTAATTGTCGTCCTGTCCAGGGTGTATCCTGCTTCTTGGGATGCGCTCTGGGCCACGGAAAAGCGATGGGATGTTTTGTAGCTTACCTTCCTGGCTACACTCCTGGCCTGGGCAATGAGCTCTCTGATTCTCATGATGTTGGTGGAAATATTTTTCACGGGCTTTTTCTCTTCCACTACTCGCAGTTTATCCAGCAGTTCGGGGACTATCTCTGTTAGGCTTTCCACTATAATCAAGACGGCAGGTGAGCATGGGTTCCAATAAAGAAGAAGAAAAGCCTCAAACATGATTTACTAATTTTAAACACCCAGGTTGCTAAGAGAGAGTGAACAGCTCTTGATATTCAGAGACACTAATCTGATTTTTAGTGCGCACTTCTAATTCCTTTTCAGGAACAGCAGGAACAGTGACAGATCAAATAGTCAGAATTGTAACATTTAGAATATATCTGTGATGTACAGTAATGAATCACAAACAGTGCTTATACATCTGTATTGACTGAAACAACAATGTTCCTCCGTCATGTGACAATATGATTCTATTATAATGGCAGAAGACAATTCAGGTATATTAGGTCAAAAGTTTTCTGTAATATCCATCAAAACACTTCACGGAAATCTGTGAAAGTAAAAGCACACAAAGTCTTTAATTTCTTTTGATATTTTCTACCTATACTGTAGTTTTCAATGAACAAATACCGAAAAGGAGAACTGATTATTCTTGTCAAAACCACATCATCTATCCCCATTTTATCACTAAAGACTTAAACCATACAGAAAACAGGGTTTCTACTCATATAGTACATATTTTGTAGAGACACAGCAGTACAATTAACTTATCTGTTACTTTTTACAACTACTGTAAGTCTTTGCCACAGTTACAAATATGGAGAAGATAGAGGTACTGTACCTGCTTCCCCTGCTGTGTTCACTGCCAGCTTGTATGCAGAGGTGTCATATTCCGAATTGTTCAGGTTTCTCGCCCACTCCTGGACTTCCGCATTGACGGGACTGATACTCTGCAGGACCTGAGCTGTGTTGTTCAGGGTACTCTCCGCAACCCCTCTTGCAAACGTCAGGCGCTGTGCCGTATTAACTGTCATTCCAAAAAAAAGTTTTGCTTCAGCTATAAATTAATGCCACAGACATAACACCCTGGGTTCCAGCGTGTACTGTACGCTTGTCTTACTCCTTTCCTAAAATGAGTGAGATGAAGCCCATTACAGTATGCCCGAGCATCTGAACTAAAAATTAAAACTGAGAAACTGCTGAAAGTTCAGTGTTGAACAACATGCCAGTTAAAGCTAAAAACGTTTAAGATTAATGGTAATGAAAATGATTGAAGGAAGTCTCGTGCTCTTTGGAGAGCTTTCACATGTGATGGTAATGTTTATATTATATATATTGTCAGCAGCTGTATCACCCTGCACCCTCACAGCTGGCAGCCCACTGAAGCTCAGCAGGTGTGAGCCTGGTCAGTACCTCGATGGGAGACCTCCTGGGAAAAACTATGGTTGCTGCTGGAAGAGGTGTTACCGCAGCCAGTAGGGGGCGCTCACTCTGCAGTCTATGTGGGTCCTAGTGCCCCAGTATAGTGACGGGGACGCTATATTGTAAAAAGACGCCATCCTTCAGATGAGACATAAAACTGAGGTCCTGACTCACAGTGGTCATTAAAAATCCTAGGGCGTTTCTCGAAAAGACTAGGGGTATAACCCTGGCGTCCTGGCCAAAATTTCCCATTGGCCTTTACCAATCATGGCCTCCTAATAACCCCCATCGATGAATTGTCTTCATCACTCTTGCTCTCCTCCCCAATGAGAGCTGGTGTGTGGGGAGTGTACTGGTGCACTCTGGCTGCTGTCACATCATCCAGGTGGGGCTGCACACTGGTGGTGGTGGAGGGGATCCCCATTACCTGTAAAGAGCTTTGAGTGGAGTGTCCAGAAAAGCGCTACATAACTGTAATTATGATGTTGATTCAGAACTTTAAATAAGTGATTATGTTAATCCCATTGTGTTAATAGTGTCCTCTTTGAATACATTTATACTTTGGAGATTTCCATTCTGGTGTAGATGTTACTTTAATGTCCACATATACTACATATGACCAATAATGTCCAAACATTCATTGCACTATGGGGAGAAAATACACAAACTCCACACTGTAAGCACTCCAGCATTGGTTAAACTATTAGAACTTAAGTTCTAACGTAGTATTTCGAACCCAAGACCCATGGCGTATGAGTGCTAATTGCTACACCCCTGTGGCACCTCTTCATTTTACCCCCAACCCACTCTTAAGAGCCCTGAATAGTAACACAATAATAACACTTCACCCTGCTGACAAATTGAAGACAGTGGCAGTGCTGTTGCTTTTTGTAGTTATTCGTTTTCAAAGAGCACATACTGTACATTTCGCAATGTGCTAACATATCCATGACAGATCTTGTAAAAACTATGACTCTAAGATAGACTGGTGTCCCACCCAGGGCTCTACCATGTGCCCTATGCTTCCAGGACAGGCTCTGGGCTGCTGGTGCCCTAGCCAGGAATAACAAGCTTTCTGATGATAGATGGATAATTTAATAGCTCATACAAGTTTGGAATCCTTTGGGATGAAAAACATTCTATAAATGCTAGGAACTTTATTATATTTCTAACACTTTTTTCCCCAATTTTAATTTCACTTTTCGTCACAAAACATAATAGAATAGTATTCCTGTAGTTGCTGGACAGCATTTGGAAGAAACTATAATCCAACACCCCTTACCTTTATCAATGGTATTGAGTCGACTTAAAGCTTCTGACAGTTTTTGTCTAACTTCACTCATTGTCTCCTTTGTTTCATCTACATATTTCCTGTTGTCACTCAGTGAAGCTTCTGACTCTGCGAAAGCGATACATGTAAGAGGTATTTAATACAGTCAACAGGGTGAGATGGAAAGAGCTAACAAAAACCAATCTTATGCTGTCACTTCAGGGAATAGGCACAAATGAAACATTCACTGTCTATTCAGGAATAATGATTTTAAATAAACATGCCTTAAAACAATAACATAAACATCATGTGTATAACATAAAAGTCTAAAACGGAAATTACCATCTTGTCTTGTCTGTACGTTAGTGGCTCCTACAAAAACCTCACGGCTTTTTTGTTTATTGAAGCCGACCTCAGCTGTGATTCCCGATATTGCCTTTAAAACAGGGAAGATCATGTGAAGAAAAAGTACAACAACATTCATGGCAGCAGCCTGTGATAGCTCCGGTCCCGATTCCTTCTCTCAGTATAGAAACCGCAGAAACGCTCTGCTGAGTGTAAAGGTGTCAAGATGTACAGATCTGTTTTTGTTTGTGAGGAGCTGAGAAATTAAGCATGAACCGTGCTAGAACATGGACGTGAAGTAGTTTAAATGGAGTTTATAACGAAAGTTCGGGGGGGATGACAACAGCCAAGTTCAATTAGACTCTGTTGTCAGAAATACGTAGCTGCTCCTGACATGTCTCCTCACCTAAAACAGCAGAAATACTATAACGCCCTTCTCTTCCTTGCATGTCTTTCTGCCTCATACCCCCACCCCACCTCCCCCTCTGCAGCTGCCTCTGGGTCACCCCTCACTCTGCAGGGGGTCCCCAGCCTCCTCGTCTTCTGGCCAGGAGGTCAGCCCTCGGCCAAGCGGGTTAAGACAACTTTTCTTGACTGAAACACTTCATGATCCTTTCAGTATGATTGATTCTTCAGTGTTGTTATTCCTAGTGAAACAGTTTTACAGCATCTACTCTGAAGGAATCTCACATCCTGAAATACGCACTGTAGGTTAATAGAGACAGTGTTGGCAACCTTCAGACACTTACATCATCAGCCCTCTGCGCAAAGTTAAGTGTAGTTTCTGCGGTAGCGTTTGCTTCCTCTATATACTTGACAATGTTTTCATACACATTGGAAGCGTTTACTGCTTTCTGAACAAACCCATTGGCATCGATGTTTTTCAGATTACTAAGGGAAGAAGAAAAAGAAACGTACATTTTCCATTATTTCCAATGCACCCATCTACATTTGAGGATGGTTCAGTGTTTGTGAGAGAAAAACAGCCATTAGAAAATAAACAGGAGTAAAATATACTGGTTCCCCTTTTTTCCTGCCAGTTCATGAGACAAATACCTTTTGGAAAATGTTAGCCTTTGAGCCAAGCTGCTGCAACAGTTCCAAGTCTCTTCAGAAATCAAATAATAATTTCAAGTACTGCACTCCACATCCTCTGCCATTTTTGACTAGATTGAAATGTTCTTGTGTTTTTGTGCTTAGCGTTTCCACAATATTATAAATATAGGGAGATATATTTATATGCATCTATATGAGGAGACTCTCGCGGGTTCCCCTTTGCCAAGAGCAAAGCAGAGGTGCACCAGCTCACGTGAACAAGCCGACGGAAGGAACATAACTTCAGCACACGGAGAATCTGTGGGCTGGGAGCGAGGCTGGGCCACCGCCGACCACCGGCAGCTGGACGTCCAGATCAGCTCACCTCAGCTTCGGCCGCCACCCAGGCTTTGCGCTGTTCTCCGGACCCCTGTCCGTGGTTCGACCTGCAGGCGCGTCTCAGTTTTCCGTGAGCGCGGCGGGGACTGTGGCCTGGGTTTTGACTAGCAGGCTCGTTCCCATTTTGCGGTCTCCACCCCTGAGTTGGCCCCCCTGACTTTGGCCGATCATCTCGTTAGAACTCTCTCCAGTGTAATATGTGTCACGCAGTGACAGAATTTGGATGTGGGGCCACAGGTGTTGGGAACCATATTGATTTTGATGAATATATTGACTTTTATTGACTTATCAACCATATTTGACAAGAATGGCCAGTGTGTCCCTAAGGGGCTGATGTGTTTCTCTTCTTGTTGCTTGAGCTCCTCCTTCTGTCAAAGGTCCTCCTAGTGCAGCCGCCTGGGACACAGTTCAGAAGTTGCATGGGGTTGCATGACCGGTTTCCAACTGTGCCTGTGACCGATAGTGCATTTTTACTCCCGGCTTTTTTGCATTTAGTTGTTTTGCTAATTAGGCCCGAGCCCTTAGCTGTGCCCACACTCATGACAAAAACGCTAGTCATGACTTGAGATATCGGACAGAGAAGAATATGGTGGGACACAGACGGCCTCGCTGCACACAGGAGAGAACTTGGGCACCAGAGAAGAGACCTGTGAGGACAGGACTCAGAGAAACACAGTAGGGGGGGAGCAGAGAGGACCATATTGTTTGGGTTGGCCACAGTGGAAGAGGATGCCTAAGGCCACCCGAAGAACTACGCAGAGTTTCTTTGCTGTGGTGGAAGAGGGCTTCCAGGTCACTGACTAGTGTGGGGTTTGGAGAACAGGAATTCTGTACTGCTCCTTTGGGACAGTGTCTTTCGCGTAAGTGGGATCCCTGGAGTTCATATCGTCTGTGAGTGTGTGTCTCCTGTGTCATGGGTTCTGTGCGATAGTCAGATTGTTAGACTGTAATAAAAAGAGAAATTGTTGAATGTAGGATAATTGTCTTTTCTGATCTGTGGATGCACTAGTTGCATGGGAAAAAGGGTTCTTGAACTCTTAAAATTGCTAGGCCAAGTAGTTGACTACAAAGTTTAAAAGATCAAAGTTGCGGGATTTAGGAGTCACCATCCATGACAATATCTTCCTCCAGGATGGCCATTTCCAGTGCACGGTCCAGATTTCTGGGCTCTGAGAGGGCACCCTAGTGACAGCAGTTGGAAGGTGGCAGAGTCCAGAGGCAAAGCTCAAAATTCAGCTCCCTGTTAGCTTCGGCACCCCTTCTATTTGGTGAGGTTCATCACACTTCTGCCACAAAATATCCAAGGAACTCCCTTTCCAGCTCCCTCCACTCAGGTAAATGTTGTCAGCAAAATACAGGCCGCTTTGTACTGCACAAGCCAGGTTCGAGGGCTTTGCAAAGGCCGCAGACCAATGTTGCTCTCTGTCTAAATCTACGAGCACCTGCCCTGCAGACCTTCGTAACTCCACTCTCACGTGGACAGCGTACGTCACCGAGTCCCGCCAGTTCAGACTGATCCCAGAGTGCTGCAGGAGAGCGATGGTGGAGATCTTCACGGTTGTGCTGTGGGAGGACTCCCTCCGCGGAGTGGTGGCTGGTGTTCAGGTCCTCCCTGGTCCTGGCTTGCAAGCACGGGTAAGAAATTGCTTACTGCCGGACCAAGGCGTCCACTAGAGAAACTGCTGTCCCCACCCCAGCTGTCATTCAGTGATGTTCATAGAGGTTGTACACTAGGAAAGGATCTTCTGTTTTCCATCGCCGCTGCCAGGCTGTGCTTCCAGATGCTGCTGTGTTTCTCTGTTGTTCCTGACTACATCTTCTCTCACGTCGTTTCTCTGGAGCCGAGACAGAAGTGTTGCTGCCTCATTCCTCCTTTTTAGCACTACTCATTGTAATAATTCAGTTCTACGTAACTTTTCAGATGACAGTATGTAATCACAGGACTTGTGTATGCGGAGTCTGTGGTCCTTCCACACTTTACATTCACATTAGTTGTTGTGGTTGTTCGTGCCCACTGAGATGCCCATCCCATATCTCCCCACCCTCTCCCACCCTTCCTGCCATCCCTCTTCCTCAAGCCTTCAGGATGTCAAGTAACAAAGTAGAAGTACTTTGCTACACTACTCAATTACATTCTTTTCCCGAGATCTAGGCCAAGTAGTTGACTACAAAGTTTAAGATCTTGCTTAAGTTTTACATTTTCAGGATACTATGACTTTTACTCAGGCACGTTAGTTTAGAAAAGACGGTACTTTTACTCCAAGATATTTCCCAGAAATTTCGCTCTGGGGCAGTGACGTTTAAACGGGCTGGGATTCTGATTGGGTAGAGCACTGATCACTACTGAGGTGCGTGAATTGGACCACAGCCCGGAGCCCAATGCATTTTCCCACTGTTTTCAATTTAGTCGCGATTTGTGATTTTTCAAAACGGAGAGAAAGGGAACAGAGCTCACTATTCCAGATCCAGAGCCAGCCTCTGCAGCTCCCTGGCGTGCTCCGCGGCCCGGTGCACCAGGTCTCCCTCCGCCCTGGAAAGATTGTCCGCCTTCTGCTTCAGGAGTCCGCCCGCCCCGTCCACTGCGGCGTGGAACTCGGACACGTTCTGGGCGGAGCAAATTTAGACACACGTCACGTCACATCACTGCTGCTGTTCCACACACCATGTACGGGTAGCATCAGCATTTCAGCTGAGTCTTGAGGATCCCAAAAAAAACCCCAACGGCTGCTTCAGTACAGAAGCGCATTGCTGCCACTAAGAAAAATAAGATCGGCCCCTTATCTCGTAATTACGAGATAGCAGTGATCACTTCAGTGTATGTGCAACCTGTAACATTGTGCGCTGAACGCTTGTACGGTAGACGCTACCGTGAACTTGGCTGGCACTTTCGGTTTAATGATCGTGTCAATGTCCAGCGCTGCAGGATTTGTACGGATTTACTTTCAACTGGGGTTTAATTCTAATGAAATCGTGCAATTATTAGCAAGTATGAACAGAATCATTAAAATGTAACGCATTCGGCCGACATGCGAGCCAGCTTGCCAGCGCGATGACGTCAACCCCCTTCCCTGTGAATAGCAGGGACCTCAGCCAACGGGATGAGGAGAGATCTCCCTTTAGCTCAGCTGGCTGGTTCCCTGTTGAGTGATGCCGGAGGCCTGGGTTTGAGTCCCCAGTGGTGGAGGACTGACTACAATAAGCATGAGGACCAGTTTTGTGGGATTTAGAGATCAAGACAATGATGGTTCCGTTAAGAACAGTTGTATGTGCAATCAGTTCCACTGCTTAAAACTACGTCTGCTAGTTGTATGTAGCATGTATGGCATGTAGTGCTATAGGTATTATATGACAGTTGCGCTGTCGCACGATCACATAAAGTATGCGAGAATTACTATCTCGTAATTACGAGTTCATTTTGTCATAATCACGAGATAAGGGGGAGGATTTTTTTTTCCTTGGTGGCGGTAATGTGCTTCTGTACTACAGAACTGGGTACAGAACACATTTTTGCTTTTTCACACTATTATCTCACTATATACCCTACATGGCTGTGCTACGGTCTTACACGCTATACTGTATGTTAAGATTTGTATGTTTTAAGTATCAAACATTTTCTCAATTTTCTACTATTACTGATACTGTTAGTTTGGGTCAGAAAAAAATAGCCACCTGGGCACACTTGAGATCAGATCAGAATTTTCAGAAACATGATCACAGCAGCTCAAGGTGAGTTACACAAGGTGAAGTGTTGTAATACCATTGACTAATTGTGTTGATACCAACTCGCTGTCAGGTGTCCCTCGTCACATTGTTGGCTTAAAACAAAAAGGCAGCAAAGTCAATATAAAAAATATAAAAATCTTCAATTGCAGCAGGTTTAATCTTACCACTGAGAATGTGGAATAAATGTGGACATAGTATTCTCCAATGTGTTCCCCGGCCCTCATACAACATTACAGAAAAGTGCTGCTATCCTTGCAAGGGAAAGATGCATTAAATACTTAAAACGGGTGCTAATAATTGTGGCATTAGATTAAAAAAAATAAATGTATACGTTTTCAGAAATGTGTAATTTTGGTTAATTCCATTTACCTTTATGAGAGTGTCCAACTCGGCAGCAATCAGACCTGTATCAGTGATCACATCTCCCGCCAGCTGTAGGGTCTCATTCACCATGCCATAATTTTCCATCAGAGCGTCCCGCAAATCCTGAAAAACAGCATGGTCAGTTTTTGTTTTGTATTAAAAATGTTTAACACAAGGCGAATAAACCTTTGCTTGCTCCTTTCCAGATTCTTGGATGCAGCGTCTCCTTTTTCGTACCGCTAGAGGCCGCTATTGTCTTAAACTTTAACTTAAGTGTAATATAAGTCCATAGACTGGCGAATCAATAATAAAACGTGTCTTTTTATACTGTGTATCTGTTGCAATCATGAAGATATATTTTACTGTTAATACTATGCACGGCTTTTCAGAGGCAGAAAGCAGCTCTCTATGCTATGAAGTCTTGCAGGCCCATCAGATTAAACAGGTGTAGGAGCCACACCTGTTGAAAACAGCCAACAGCCTGAGTGATGGCTCCTGCTTATGCTGGAACCTCACTTCAGCTCAGGTTAGAAACATCCTGAAGACAAAGGCTATACAGGCAGTACAGTAGGTAAAACGTGTATTGTGTTTTATATTGTAATATTTCAGCATCAGCTGCTGAGCAACAGACATCAGTATAGAGATTTCCTAACTTCAGCTCTACTTAATAGAGGTCAGAAAGCTGGACAGGTACTGTAGATGGACAGACAGAAAATGCCATTCTTAGATTAGTTATCCAGTGCATTACTAGCTGTATGCAAGTCAACAATTAAGACATACATCAAAGCAAAGTTTGAATTTTGAAATGAATTTAAAAAAATATGTGTTTCAAAAAATGTTATGTAGATTCTGATTGAGGAAACATGATACAAGCTATCCAACCATGTTGTTGAAATGCATGCACATTTACAGTAATTAAAAGTGCCCCCTTTGTGTTTGTAAGCATACTCGTATTCTTATTTTTTTAGATCCATGGTGTGGTTTTTATTATTAAAAGCAGTGCAGTCCTCTTGGCAGGAAAGTGAATGTTTTATGAACGTGGCCCAACACCTGTTAATTTATACCTCCCATAACTATTTTAGCATTCATAAAGTTCAAGTTATTGTTTTGCCACACCATATTGGTTTGGGGCAAATGGAGGACAAAAAGGGACAAAAAGGAGTGTTTTGTATAAGAATAGAACAATTGCCAGTTGCATTTATAGAGGGTCAGTTCCATTGGTGAGTAATATTCAGGTTAATAAAAATAAAAATAACTAAAAAATGTCCAAATGACAAAGATGAAGCGCTGATAACTCTTTTTCAGCAGAGTGGTAACACTGCCAAGTATGGAAGGACTTTTAATGAGAAACCCCCTTTGTTTAAAAGGCATGTTAATCAATTAATTTATAAAAAGTTCAGTTCCTAATTATGGAGATTTAAAAACTACTGAAATTCGGCATAGCCTATAGCTAAAAGACCCAGCAGTCCAACTGTCAGTTAATAAAGATGTAACGGCCAACACAGAAATCCCAAGAGTGCCTTCAAATGCAGGATAAAGGATGGGAAGGAGGGGAGCATTTTGGTTTTCTGAGCAATGAAGTAAAATATATACTGAAAATAAGCTTGTAATTGTTTAATTGTCAGAAAGGAATGTTTGAAGGCAGTAATTATAGTGGTTTCTTAATAATCAGTAGACTCATTTTCTAACTAAATGCCGGGGTCTTACTGTATGTAAATTAAATAAATGCTTAGTTTAGAAACTAACACATTTGGGAGCAGCAGCAGCTCCTGAGCTTCACTCAGTCCACACCTTTCACTGCCTGCTGGTGACTGTCAGCTTTTAACCTGCTTGTAAATAAAAGCTTCGCGTTTTTGTGGAAAGGGCCGACGAGTATGATTTGCACTTCACAATCCTTTTGGAGAAGTCTGTGATACTGTATTCAGAGACACAAAGTATGGAGATAAATATACACAGAAAGAGGGAAGAATTGTTTTTTTTTAATGAAATGCTATAGACTGAATAACGCTTGAAAACATGCTGCATGATTTTTCCCGTGGTGGAGCTGAAGGGAGATTCTTGCTATTTTGCCTGGTTGGGCTGAGATAGAGATGAGAGGAATGACACTAAGTGCTCCTGCATCACAGCTCCAGGGTCCTGTGTTTGATTCCAGCCTCCATTGTCTGTCTGTGGGCAATTTTGGCTGACTCCCAAACCCATGCTGCCTGTATTTGACAAGCCACCTTAAAAACTCCTTTTCCCTTGTAGGCCTGCCTGGCCCAGCACTGTGCCTCGTGCTTCTGGAATAGGCTGAGGCGTCCTGGGGAATCGTGTGCGGAGCATTATTGTTTCTTACTGCTGCTGGAGACATGACATAATCCGCACAAGAATGGGGTGGGGTTTCTGAACTGAGAGGCTCTTGTGATTGAACAGACACTTGCCTTCATTGACACAGGCTTGGAGGAGAGTAGGCACGGGTGGAGGTCAGACATGAGAAGTACTGTATGCTGAATAGATGTCTGTTAGTTGCAGTGTGTGTCAAATTTAAGTGCATTAAATCAGATTCAGGCTGCAGTGTGCAGAATGTAAATGTGTTGATTGCAACTCTAAGATGATCAGATAAGGTAAATCGTTAACAAAATCCATATGCAAAGCGGGGCTGTGTGTGTATCCATCAATATTCTTACACCTCTACAAACAGGCAGCTGGCATTGCTTGCCAGAAGTGCTGGGACATCCTAAAGTCTCAGACGTACTGTTATGGAGTTAACGGAGTTATGGGAGGAGACTGAGGAGATGTGTTGGATAGTAGCTTTTTTGAAAAACCTGTTAAAAAACTATTTTACTTCCACTGATCTAGAAAAGAGAAACATGTTCATGTGGGAAAACTCTTTCCCTGTGAAAGGATGTTATTTAATATATTGGCAGAGCTGGATGGAAGAAACACAGCCCATTTCGTTGCTTAAACAAATGTGGTACATATGCTCAGCATTTCCTGAAAGGCATCTGCTGTTCTTATTGCTTTACTGTATATGTACAAAAAGCGAGCACTGACTTATCGAGCACTCTGGCCTTCGTTACTTCACACTGCGGCAGAAACGGAAAGCCCTGTCTGAGACATCTTCACTGTCAGGGGAACACTCAGCACAATGAAACCTAATTTTAAAAAGTTCCACATCAGTACAACTCTGTGTACTTTGACCTTCACATGACCGTTGAATTTCCAGCCTTAAATATTGCAAATGAGCTCTTTACGAAAACTCTTTCTTAGAATGCTGCATTGATCAGACTGTGATGAGAAACTGATATGCTCATTGTTCTCACTCGGGAACTAGCCTTGCAGCGCGCTTGTCTTTGGGCTTGGGCCGCTGCACATTATTGTTACCTCATTCCTCTGGAATTTGACAAGATTGTCTTTGTTCTTCTCCACAGTGCTGTGGGTGGTTCTCACGGCCTCCCCGAGAAATTCCCTCGAGTCAGACAGCTTGCGGCTGAAGTCGGAGATCTGGTTTCGTATGGGTGAAATCTGTCCCACAGTGCTGTTTAGCCTCTTCCCTAGTTGGAGGACCTTCCTGCGAACTAAAAAGACCAGTTTTCACTCTGCATCAGTTTGTGTAATGTTTGAGACATAGTATAAAACCCCTGTGATTCATGATCATAGGACAACACATACAGTAGGTCAATACAGAAGGCCAACAAATAAATAATAATTTTGGAATATGTTTAGATCAGGACTTAATAGGATTGCAGGATTGTTTTCAGATAGAGAAAAAAAATATTTTATAGAAGAGCAGCCCAGGTTCTCCTGAAATAGACAAATAACAGATGAATCAGGAGAGAAAATACAACTGCACTTTATCATTGTGCATTGCAAAATCTATAAAGTCTTGAGACACAGTGATCAATTGCATCAGGAGAGCAAAAGCAACTGCAATAAAGCCAGAGTGCATCTTTGGTATTCCCTTTACTCTGGTAAGGGTGAGATGGTAAACCATCCGAATTGAGAAAATAAAATTGCATTTGGATTGTGAAATGAGTTGCAGGGTACTATTACACCACATTGAACAAAAGCTCACATAATAATCACACAATGACCAAACTACACTGCTCTGATGTATGCCTTGTTTCTTTTACACAGTATATTGAAAAATACATATATGTTAGGTTTTATGTGGTGTACAGTTTATACTGCATATACAGTAATATACTAAATATGAAATAATATACTGTATTAAAACATTTAGAATAATTATCTCCCTATAGCATTCACAACTGTGAGCAGGGATGAAGTAGTGATTACAGCTCTTATCTCCTTACAGCAGGATCATGGAGTCAAATTCCAGAAAGGGAGAACTATAGCCATAATATCAAAGATATTTTACATTAAATTGCTCCAGCAACCCCACTGTATTAATGTGGCTCAGTCTTGGACTGTATAAAAGATGTAATTGTGAAGCCCGCAAGCCACTTAGCATAATATTATCAGAAAATGATTGAAAAATTATATATATACACTGTATATACAGGTATGTCTGTACATATTATTGCCCGGTGTACTGTAATTGACTTCCTCAGCAGGCATCTTGAATTAAGCAGCTATGTAATTAGGAAGGTTACCTATTTGAAATGAACAGTCTGGGGCTCCCCTAGTGATAAATGGGAGCCTAGCAGTTGGTTAACATAGTACTGCTTAACCCAGAGAGTAAGCCCGCAATGCACACTAATTGACCTTCGCACAGCTTTTTTTCCAATGTTAAATGAATTTACAGACACAAACAAATCTTCCAGTATGCTCTCAGTATGTGTCTTGCCTGGTGGTGTGTGTATCGTGATTAATATTGCTTGACTAATATCATGACTTAGGTGTATCCCTTCACACCTAACACAAATATTTTTATTAAAATGCAATGGTTGTACTGTATACCGAACCACAGAAGGCTAATCTCACTCACGTTCCTGGGCTTTGACAGCCTCCTCTTTTGCGGTAGGTTCTTGCGAGGGGAAATCTATTTTTCTCATGTTCTCCACCATATACTCAGACTCTGAGATCCTCTGGGAGACTTCCTCCAGAGTCAGGTCGTGCACCACACTGTAGAAAGCCCAGTCGCTTACAATATCTGGTAAAGGCAAAGCAAATATGAAACAAGAAAATGAGTACAGAAAATCTCTCAACAAGAGGAAGTTGTAGATGAGAAGGAGGAGTGAAAAAAGAAGATAAAAAGGTATGGAAAAGGAGAGAAGAGTCTGTCCACCTCCATTTTCCAAACTTCTCATATGCTGCATCTGAAGCACTTTCAGTTAACATTACCTTGGAGTATTTAACCGCACGCTAATAAAACACAGAAATCTGAGTCAATCAAGACACAATGCTGATAATATACTTCTAATACCATGACATGCACATTGACAAAGAATATGCAGATTATGTAAAATAAATGAAAAAACGATGCATGGTAATGTTGTTTTATTTATGGTTTAGAAGAATGTTTTTTATGCTGAAGCAAAAGCAGATGTTACCTTGAATTTGGCTTCCAAGTGAGAACAGATTCCTTTTCAGCTGATCAGCATGTAGATAAATGTCTCTGGTTTCCTGGTCCACTTTCTTTCCCTGAAACACTGCTGAACTCTCCTAGTGAACAGCAACCTCTTGTTTCAGTGCCATTTCTTCAATATAAAGGCCCAGTAAACCTCCATCATAATGGAGTCGAAGGACTGTTTTTCATATTTATTTTTGATATAGTTAGGTAAGACAGAATTAGATTTTTATGTTTTGGCCACAAAGATGAAAAAATGTCACCATCTACTATGTAAACAATCAACTGCTGATTTTCATGTTTAGTTTGGAATGCAGTTTTTAACATTCTTTTAATTAAAAGACATTTATCTTCTTTTAAACAACATCAGACATTTAATTTCACCATAAAAGGTTTTGTAGTTAAACACTTTAAACGTTAAACATTAAGCAAAAACAATTATTAAAACTGTAATAGAGCTGCATATTGTATGGATGGAAGAGATCATTATACATAATTGTTTCAAGAAAGTAAACTGTATTGAACTCCCTGTCTTGCTTTTGTGTTCTATGTATCGTATTCAGTGTGTCAAGTGGCTGGGGCGGTGGTGTAGGTGTTACTTCTATGCTGGTCTAGATAATCACTTATTTTGTAACACTCGAAGATCACAGATTCTGCCACTCTTTGGCAACAAAATATTAATAGGCTGTTAATGATCCTCCCCACCCCCTTCTGCAATCAAAACAGTTGCTTCCTCCCTCCCTGTTGTTTTTGTAGTTTCTCGTTTGTTTCATTTTAATGCTGTTGATCTAACAGCTTTGGTAACTAAAACGAGACCTGCTACCTGTGTCCTGGACTGGTTTCCTATACCTATACCTTTACACAAAGCTAGTTTCTCAGCTCTTTGTCCATGTCTTACTAACCTCACCAGTAAGCTCCTGGGATCTCCTTTTGCATCTGATGAGTTCTATCAAACTTTGAAACAGGGTTTTGACAAAGGCATGACTGACATGCACAGTATCACTGCTATTCATTCAACTCCAAATGAATTTGATGCAGTTGAATTAAATTAGTAAATCTGATGATTTGTGATGCCCAGCGATTTAAAATGCATCCTGTCAGACCCACTTGTAGACACAGTGATTCATTTAGTCTGGAATGAGCAGGTATAAACTTTATAATTAACTTTAGAACTAAAATTATAATATGCAGAATAAGAATTTTGACAGTACTGTGGTATCTAATAATTGCCAAGTCATGATGGTGGAGGTACAGTATACCTTTTCTTCCAGCTTCTCCAGGTTTGTCTGGACAACGAGCGCAGCATCCTTCACAACTGCTGTTTGAGTTTTGATAATGTCAGATTGATTTCTCCACTTCCGAAACTGACTCTGTTTTCAACAAAAAAAACAAAAGATTGGTTAGTCACTCATCCTTTAAGATAATATTTGAACAATCATTACTTCTATGTATAACATTAGGATGAGATATCTGCATTGATCTGAGTCTGGCTTCCAAATAGATAAAATATTCTGTGGATTCATTAGTACTGATAATTTCAAATTTAATCGTTACCGAATGGGCAGATATCTTGTAAAAATAAATACATCTACTGTAATTAAAAAAAAAAACAAGAATGAAACAAGAATGTTTAACGGAGGATAATACTATATGTTGCTTTCTTTTTCTTAGTGTTGAGAAATCAATATGATTTATGATATCAGGAGAAATTACCAAATAAACCGATCAATGTGCAAGTCTGCACACAGAATAAAACTGTCCCAGTGAAATGAAACTCTTGCTGTGCAGTACCTGCAGGTGCAGGATTGTGGCATTGATTTGACTAAGATGACTGTTGGCCACTGCTCCAGTAGAGATGTTTATGATGTTTGCTTTGACTTCCTGCAATGTCTTGTTTGATGACAGGATGTCATCGATTAAATACCAGATGCATTCATCGCAGCCTGTCGAAAACAAGAAGTCATGTCCATTATCATTCCAGCATCAAAACAGTTCTTGGAAATCAGTCTTTGTTTTCCAGGCAGAATATTTGATGCCAAACCAAACCAACTCATAGAACTGTGTGTTTTTGTGTGATCACTGATAAAAGTGTGGAAATTAACAGAATGTTTGAACAATGTTACAGTATATATAATGGTCGGACCCTACAGACACAGGCTTTCTTATAGCTGTTAGTTTAGGGTGAAATCAGTGATGAGTTGTGAATGTGCTGTTTTTTAAATATTGTATTAATTTGTGTTGTAATAGTCTGCTTCCTCTCTTGAGATATAAATACATAAAAGATTTATCAACACAGCACCTCAAGTCATTTCTGTTTGACAGGCCTTTAATTAATTTGGATACATGCCAAAGAAAACGAGCAGGACCTTAGCGTATTGTTCATCTTATTCCTGCTTTTCTCATACTTCAGTGCAATTTAAATGTCAAAAACAGGTACCTCGGGTTGTTTATGGAAGCTATCCAGGTCCCACTGCCTTGTGAAAGAAGTGCTTTAAACGCCTTAATTACAGGAGCCTTTTCGTACATATAAAAGGTCGAGAATTTTAGATGTGATGGTTATTATCTTTTTTTCTGGAAGATCTTCAATGCTGTGTAGCCCTGGAGTACGACATATGAGCACCTCAACTAAAAGGCTTTCTTCTATATTCAGGCAACTTACTGATGTTGCAGACCTTTGGGGGTACAGAGGGCTCCGGGAGGCACTCCCCAGTCCGGCTGTCACACGGTCCTCCATCACAGTCACACTCTGGACACAGCACAGCGACACATAGTTAGGGATAACGCTCATTTTGAAAAAAAAAACAGCACTGGAATTAATAGAGCAAAGCTTCTTAAAATAGCACCACATGCAAAAAGGTGTTGAAGTCTGCCATTTCATAGTTGACTTGGGATCAATGCAATATTATCAGAGTTCTTACCTTTATTATGAACAGTATAATATCATATACCCATACTGAGTATTCCCTGTGAGATCATTTGTATGAACATATATGTTTCTATGAGAAATACAGTGTAATGTGTAATATTCACAACAGAATTATACCGTGTTTCCAAGTAGTCTGGCAGTGATCTCCGAGGAGGATGCCCTCCCTATGTGTAATTATCACTGGATGTTGGATCAGGAAGGGGTATTCAATCCTGCATTTTTCACCTCAGTTCTTATTTAACACGAACAGTGGACAGCAGTGAAAAGCGGTTACAGAATGCTCCAATGCACTGAACAACGCATCCAGTACTTTTGTCCAACTGAGCAATCTTGCTTTTATAAAATATACCAACTTTTTAATGTTTAAGGATTAACATGCTGTAATACACAGTTTAAAATTAAAAGTCTAAAGAGTATACAACTTAAATTCTTAATTGGATAAAGACTGTCCCTCAGCAGTGATCGGGACTCAAAGCCGGGTGTTTTCTGGTGACAGCTCAAGTGACAGTTTTACAAAGTGATTCTGGAGACTATTAACAGAACCTGATTTACATGCAGTAAAATGCGGTAGGACGTGATATGACGCATTGTGATGTGACACGCCCGCCGCGTTGTACCGCAGCGTACCTCACTCCTTTTGAACGGCTGCATCCGTATCGATCAAATGACTTGGAATTGAAGATGGGTCATTTGTTCTGTACTTGTTCCATTATGCCAAGGACGTTTAACAAAAGTCAGTGTCGGGAGTCTTTCGTGCTAATTCTGTTCAGAAGAAAAGCTGTCGATTAGCACATTTCACTCACCCTGGCAGCCTGAAGGCCCGTACTTCCAGTAGCCACTGCTGCAGTGTTCACAGTGCTGTCCAGTGGCACCAGGCTGGCATTCACAAGCCTGAGTCAGCGGATTACAGGCGCGCCGGACAGAGGCCAAAGCACACTCACACTTCCTGCATCCCAGGCAGCTCGTGAATCCAGAGTAGCCAGCCTACACAGAAAAAAAAAAACTGAAATAAGAAATATAGTGGAGAAATAGGATTGTTTTGCGGATGTGTGCTATGTAAGCTCCGCACTGTTGTTTTCAATGACTTTTTATTAATATAAAACATTGTTGCTCATTTAATTAATCCCACGATGTACACAAAGTAAGGGTCCTTTACAAGACAAAAGTGTAACACGGCAGTAATGTATGGAAGATTCTGTTAGAAATTACAGTATATAGGAAAGTATACATTGGATATACAGTAGGGGATCTGCATTGAGTTTTAGTATGCATTCTAGACGCTGTATAACTGTACTAAACTTCCAGATGTAGGTTATCTATATGTATAAGGTTACCAAAAGCAAAATGCCTATTTTTATAACTTTCCAATTTTGTTTTCCCTAAGTAGTGAAATATTAAAGAATAACACAAATGTACATCTTTGTTCACGTGAGATATTATATTCTCTAAAATATTTATTTATACAACTTTATAAAACTGATAAATAATCCCTTGTGTAGTATTTTCTTATGAAAGCTTTCTTAAATATTAAGTATTGTATTATTAGCCCTAGCAGTGGTATAATTCACACCAGTGTTATAAATTCTTGAAAATCAGGCTGAATGTCATCCTTCCCTATTTCTGTTTTTAGCTAGGTTTACTTTATTACTGATAAATGTCTCGGGTTAATTATTATAAAGGTCAAGTGTGTTTTTTTTTACCTCACATCTGTCACATAATGGTCCTGTAACTCCCGGTTTACAATGACACCTTCCTGTCCTGTCATCACAAGACTGTGTGCCACACTTATTACAGGGACATTCTGCAGATAAGAGAAATACATACAAGGCCAATCAGCCTGTGACACATTTACCTCTGCGTTGTGTTAGTTCAGGAAATTCTGATTAATTCTACACATATTAATCAGGTTAATGACAATACAAACCACCACGTTTGTAATGCAGAGGCAGGTTGCAGTCCAAGATAGGGCAATGGACTGAACTCAGATTATTGGTACTGCTGGTAGCTTCATGGTTGCATTATAGTTAATAAAGAATATGTAGTACATCTGCCATTTTCTGTTAAGCTTCAGTAAATCTTGGAAGATCTCTATGGTCATGATGGGGCTCGCATAATACTGACAAATGCATGAAGGTTGAAGGTGAAAATAAATCTGATTTTTGTCATCTTTCAGACACCACTAGCCTTCACATTTGCAATCTGAATAAGACACTTCATCCCTACCCCCTCCTTGTTATTGTACGTTGATTAACATTTCAAATTCTAGGGAAAATGAGGAAAATCTTAGGTCTGAGGAAAAGGCGCAGTGTGTATGTACAGTAAAGAGAAGACTGGAGAGATGATTGAGCACAGCTGTTTTTCTCCTTTTCTCCGTTTTTTTTTACGTGACTGACCTCACTCTCAGATGACAAGAAGCAGAATTAGATAGCATTTAAAAAAATGTTTAGGGAACGTTTCAGAATCTTAAACATAGGTGTGTACAATGTCGATATCCACCTCTGCAATTCTTAGCGCTGATGGCATCTCCGAAGAACCCCGGAGCGCATCGCTCGCAGTTGACGCCGGCTGTATTGCGCCAGCAGGTCTGGCAGTGGCCGGTCACGTTGTGGCAGTCGCTGAATATGAGGTTCGGATCCGTGTTGCCGTTGCAGTCGCATTTCTTACAGGTGTCGCCAACTCGTAAGGGGTTTCCATAGTAACCCGGAGCACATCTGTCGATTAGAGCGCAAGTCGTGATCATATTTTACTTTTACTAAACATTTGACTTTTACTGCAATATATTGAAGTTTTGTACTCCTTGTAAAGACAAGCAGTACTGATAGCACCGTATTTGAAAAACTGTAAGTTCACCATTAACCAAAGAAAAATGTAAGAGCAATTGATAATAATAATAATAATAATAATAATAATAATAATAATAATAATAATAATAATAATTTAAAAGGTTATAAGGAATGAGCTATGAACATTCTACATTATATAATAATAGTGAGATATTCCGCTGCCGTTTGATTAACGCAATACCATATTGCCCTGGGGCACGTACTGTACTTCACTCCAAGACACTGACCGTTCGCAAATGGGGCCCGCGTAGCCCTCCTGGCACATACAGCGCTCTGTTTTCCCCCGCTTTTCACAGGACACTGCAAAACTGGCAGAGGGCAAAATGTGGAAAACAGACATTGGGTGGGTAAAAAAGTACAGCGTTAGACACTTTTTCCAATCAAGCTACGGAGAATCGTCACTTAGAACTGCTGCCGATTTGCAGAGTTCCCCTCAGGAAATGTTTTTTTTATAGCAGGTGAAGAGACGTGTCCTATGCAGATTTGTTACGCTGATCAACATTTGAAATCGATAGTGTTGATCAACAGGGGCTCCTCTGTGGATGTTAAAGGCTAGTAACATATGTGGTCACCTCTGGAAGCACTGCATCTGCCACTCATGCTTTGTACCTAATTACGGATGTTTTTGTGTGGGAGTGTGTCCTATTGCTCCAGTAGTGGCTGGAAAAGCATGTGTCTGCTCACTGGCCTCTGAACCCTAGATGTCACGTGACGTTACGATTCATCCAACAAAGTGGAAGGAAGCTCAGATCTGCAAAGTCCATGACATAAATATGACACTCATTTCACAGGAAAACTGACGTGGTCATGTCAGGATGAGCCCACAGGGTGTCGTTGCTCACTGGAAATGGATTTTTGCAGTGACTAGACACTGGGAAGATGAACACACCCTCCATCCTCCATCAAGACCTCTCCATCCGTCTTGACAAATTGTCATTACTGTAAATAAATGAAGGATCATATTTGGCTGCAACAATTTTGCCCATGTTCTCTTGAAACGTGGGATATTTTGTTTCTTTCTTGATTTTCTTCTGCAAGGTCCCTTCATGGTGTTTTTGAAGGCTTCTAACATTTTGGACAATGACTGGGATCAAGGCAGCGAAAGAAAACAAATTTCGATCCAGAATCTGCCATTTTTCCTCTTAATTTGAAATTGCTGCCATTAAAACCTGTAGGTGAATGAAAGCACTGTACAGTATATTCCACGTGACAAATCTTCGACTTACTTGTTTGAAATGAGTGGAAGGGGACAGGCACAAGGCCAACAAATATGGTCTCCCCCTGCTGTGATTTCGACAGTGAATCCATCATGGCACTCTTCACAAAAATCCCCTTTAGTGTTGTTCTGGCAGTCCTGTAACAGGAGGCAAAAACATTCACCTTTCTCTACTAGGATATGCTTTATACAGTATATTGAAGTGTAATTTACTGTATATGGTGAACCGACAGCAGCACACCTACTACTTATATCAAAGAAGCAGCATAGAACTTACAATACAAATCCCTGTTATGTCTTCACAGTTGATGGAGTGTCCTCCACAGTTACAAGGCAAGCACTTGCTTAATTTGCTGAGGAAATATCCTTTCCCACAAACCTAGAAAGCAAGAAAGGAATGACAGATTTTTAAAACATACTGTACAAAACACAAGAAAACCCCAAAACACTGGACTTGGTGACTGCATGTGTGTCAATGAAGTTTGAAATAATCTAATCATTTCACATTTTTTCACATTGCTTATTCATATTAGAACAGCATTTCTATTGCCATTTTCCTAACGCAGTATACTTCTGTGACTTGTGAAATATATCATCTCACAGCCTCAAGGCTCAAAAGAAGGAAAAGGGTATTATTTTGTTCCCTTCTTCCTTGCTGTCCTCCTGCGTTCATCAGAAAAGAATGTGTAAATTATGCTCACTAGGATCCAATGTTGCCCAGGTGCTGAGAAATTGCCAGGCTTGAAACATTCCATACCAAAGCTTTTAATGAGAGGCAGTAATAAAGGAGCCAATTACAGTATATAACAAAATAGCCCGCGCACCTGGGAGTGCTTAACGAAAGTATTCATAGTTCAGCTTCCGATGGGAAAACATTGACAATCTTCAAAATATTCAAAGTGCACTGCAAAGCATGACAATGAAATAATTGTTATTTGTATCTGAAATAATAAGAAGCTTATAAAATGCATCTTGAGTTTTCATTTTAATGAAAATGCAGTTACTTGTGTTTTGAAATTGCTGTTCCCTTTCTGCTAAGTAATCATACTGTACAACTTTAATTATCGCAGACTTTCCAAAATCAAGTCAGTAATACTTATCATCCGTTCATTATTTTTTTTTCTTTTGAGTGGGAGTAGATCAGTATGACCTGTTTATTGTGCTTTAGTTACCTTATGGTATTATAAACCTAAAAAAGCCTGGTTTCTGGAAGAACACTGTGTTCTTTGGCTTTTGCTGTAATTGAGGTTTTAATCACAAGCTAATGTATTTCAGTTTTCTCTTAAAAGGTCAAAGGGGATCATTTATAATTGGTATTATAAATTATCTGGACTACTCTCAATCAGGTGTGGTGCCTCAAACATAACCAACTGGACCTCTTCAGAAGGAACACATGCTCAGTGTGGGAACAGCATCCCCACCTGTGTCTGTCCACTACCAATTAATAAACTAGTAAGAGCTGTCAGCAACAAGAAAAAGAGACACAGAGTAAAATTTTGTAGGTTTTGGTACCAGTATCCCTGAAGCAGGGGATTTTTGACATTGAAGTCTATACAAACAATCAGATTAAGTGCTTATTTAGCACTGTAAATTAAGAGCTCACCTTGAATGGAAACTATCAGATTGTTACTCCAGGGCCAGAGTTGGGAACTACTGGCTTGTACCATAAATGTTCTACTAGGGATTGTGATGATCCATCAAAAATATTGATTTTTATGCTCTCAACCTTTGAGTCATTGAGTCAGATGCATGAGTCATATTGCTGTCACTCTTGTTTTGTTTCTAATCACATTTTTTATTTATTCAATAAAATAAGATAGGATATAAAAACAACTACCTCACATAACTCCTGCTCACCCATCCAGTTCAGTGCTACTTATTCTTCATGTCTCTGCCCATTTTCACAAGCTATTGTTATATACTGTACAGTGTATTCTTTGGAACCCTTTCTGTCTCCCACAGAACCATTGCAGATATGATTAAGGTCTTGTTTACTTTCCTTCATTAATATTGCCCTCCTATTTTTAAATGTGCACCAGGTTATCAGGTTTCATGTCACCTGTTATGCTGTAGAAAAATGAGAATGCAGCAGTCTGGTTCACACCAAAGATCTTTTGGCACATGCATGACAATATTCACGTTTTAAATTGTTAGCAGATTGCATTTGCATTTGTAGAATGGGGAGTTTTCTCATCTGCAAAGAGCCAAACAGAGGTTCATCCAATATTGAAAGAGTCAGTAAAATTCACATCCTTTCTCCTCTCTTCTTCACCCACTCGGGGGGCACCCCTCTGCTGTATTTTACCAGTTCTCTTTCATTTTCATTGGGGAATTAATCTTTACTCATTCCTTCACAGGAACAGCTCCCACTTCTAACAGACCATTTTGCTTTCCTTTTTTACAGATAGGTTGGCTGATTGCTGAAGTAATATTGTTCCTTGAGGTAACAAGGAACAATACCGAGCTCAGGCCATGTGAATGAAAAACTGTAGAGCTCAACATTCAGTATGCAAATTGAGTTAAAAGTGTTCAAATAAGTTGACTAACAACCCATATAGTCTATCTGTGGACACGCATTTGTCATGAATGACCTGCTGAGCAAACGGGAGGACGGACCCTGTGCGGTACCTTAGGTGGTCAGTAGACAAGAAGGTAGCTTCCAGAGTAAATGAGGGCTAGGCAAGAGACATGGTCAAAGGCAAGTTCCATGGTTTGTAATGAGAAAAGCAAGAAGGTTTCAAAAACAAAGGTAAGAGCTCCAAAGAACAACCAATACCAGGCCAAGACCAGAGGGTTCTGGAGGGTTTAAGTGTTGCGCGAGGAGGAAGGTGCGCTGATTGATGAAGTGTCGTGGTTGGCTGATTGGCAGGAGCGGTGTCGTTCAGCAGTGCTCGGGGCTGGAGTGTGATTAGTGCGGGTGCTCTTCCGTGTGAGAATGTGGTGGGATGAGGGCGTGACAGTATTTAATTACTGCATGAACAGCAGAGGACCTGACCACTCCACGCTTGAGTAATGGAAACAACCAGACTGCTATTGGCATTACTGAAGGCATCCTGTCTGTGAGAGAGAAAATGCCCACAGAATGAAGTACTGTATTGTGCTTCATTAAAAGCAGACTAGTGCACAAAAAACCGGGAGACACACCCTGGAAGGCAGATGGTCACTGTGCATGGCCAGGGCACCCCATCACCCAGAACAATCTGCAGAACCATTCTCAGACTCCAATCGCTACAGTATGGCAAATTCAATAACTTGAAGAAAGTTGTTGTTTGCTATTTGCTTGAGAAGGATTTTCTTGTTCAGATGCCATGCAGTGGTAACACTGACACCTAAGAAATGAAATGCCTGTATTTTATTATTGGAGAACATCTGATCCAGCAGTGGGGTAGTGGAGAGTGATAATGTACTGTATGCAGGAATCTCCTTCAACAAAAAATATTCTGTGCTCCCCTGCTGCTCAGCAATACACCGAAGCTCAGGAGCCTCTGAACCAACAACCAACAAATTTCTTATTCTTGCAAACCAATCTAGAACTTTCATCTTTTTCAATAGGATAATGCAAGACCACGCATGGCTAGCATTACAAAACGGCGACTTCAAGAAAAAAAACAACACTGAAATATTGCCGTGGACAGCCTTTTCTCTCGATGTGAGTCAGACAGAAGATCTATGGGAGCAGCTCAAGAATGCCAGCAACTGCAAACAGCCATGACCAGACAAACCGATAGCTGACTCTTCAGCTGCACAGGTAGAACAGTGGAAGATCCCACAGTAGTCTATTCAAAGGCAGATCAGTACTGTGCATCAGCGCTGCCAGTATTAAATTAATGCTTCAGCAGCTCATAGTCAGTAATAACCTTTTAATGTTTCCATTTGCACATTGACATTGCAGTACTCCTGGTGTGGGGTCATATAAGTAAAAACATTGATAGACCAGGCAGTGTACAACAGACACCAAGCAGCCATAGAGAACAGTGCTCTTTTATTTGCAGTGAGCAGGAAAATGTTCAAAAACCAAAATGTAGGCTCTTTGAGTTACTAATTAGTCTTCTTTAGTCCCTGTGGGTAGCTGCATCAGCATACATAGGCTGCAAAGGAACAGATAAAGGTTAATTCCATGCTAAAAAGAAAGGAGACACAACATTGTGTGTTTCTTAATCCCTAGCTAACAGTAACAGGACAGCTGAGCTACCTACTAGATTCCTTCAAAAACTTCAGAATTCAAAACTCACAAGATGTTGATCAATCATTCACTCCTTCTGGTGTAACTCGCATAACAGAGGACCTGTCCTCTGTCTTCTAACAACAGATGACGACTGACACTGGAAGCCTTTGCTTCCTGCTTTATAAATTGTCATCCGACCATTTGTGTCTGTGTGTGCCCCACAACGGACAAGCATCCCGATTCATGCAACAGGCATTTATCCTGCCTTGCTTTCTGGCTTAGCAAATGTATGCATAAATACTGTGCATTTCATCATATACTATACAGCAATTTAACACAAAATAAAATACACACTAAGTAATAAAAATAATAAAATCTCTTGGGTGTTTCCCTTTCCTGATTTCTGTACAGGTCACTCGCAAATTTCAGTGAAAAAGAGCCAGATAAACAGCTGAAGTTGCCACATGTGAGGAAAAGCAAAGTGAGACTGAATTGTAAAATGGGGCCCTTGTGGAGACCGCATTACACTTACTGTACTCCACACTATTCATCCATGAAGGGAACCTGCCACACTCCTTATTCTGTTCACACTGCATGTGATGTGATCTCTCCTTCCCTTGAACATTTTATCATGGAGCCCGTGGGAGTTTCTTATGTAAAAGTAAAATTAAAGACAAGTCAAGACTCAATTAAACCAGGGCAGATGGTGTATACTGTATCTATGCTTACGTAGCGGAGCTGGTGTGGTGACGTCAGCGCCCTCACTGCACGTAGCAGGGTCCTCAGCTGCCTGAGCTGGGGGTGGTCTCCTTTAGCTCACGCTGTTGGTTCCCTGTTGTGTTACGCCGGAGACCTGGGTTCGAGCCCCAGGTGTGGGGGACGGAACGGGTGGCGGGGGGCACGGAACCGCGACGATCACATTTAGATCCATAGGATCTGAGTGTTGTGCTTCTTTTGTGCCTCAGCGCATCAGTATTACAAAGTGATGAAAGAATCAATACATGACTTGTGCGTGATTTGAAGGATCTATGTGAAAACACTTACATGAATCATGTGAGCGCCGTGGGCTTACTCACGTCAGGTGTTTCTGGTTTGCTTCATGCTGTACTCACTTTCCTGTGAAGGCCATCACATGATCAGTACACATCTGGTGCTGTATAGTGGGTGTGGCTGTGCTACTTTTTGCCCTAATAAATGCTTAATATGTGGCCATCGTTAGATCTGCTCACTCCTGGGAAGGGTCAGCCTATTTTTCAAGCACAGAGCACTGTGCAGAGCCATCCCCTGGAAGAGACCCCTGTCCGTCACAGGATATGTAAACAAACACTGGCACACTGAGACCACGTGGAGGCTTCTCATAACATAGCCGATATAGCTTTTGAAGGTGGGAAGTAACCAGGACACCCACAGACAACTTCAGTGAACCAAAGAGAACGTGCACACTCCACACAGAAGGTGCCACAGCTGGGAATCAAGCCCAGAACCCAAGAGCTGTGATATAGCTGCACTCACCACCACCACTCTACTCCTTTAATATATGATCATATTTCACTCATGGTCCTGTACTTGAATTGATAACCCTGAAAGAGCTTGAATGGCAAAAACTCCAGATAGATAGCACATACAAACGAGAGTACATTACCAGCCACAACTGGTAGGTAATCCTTAAAATTGTGATCTAAACCTTTTGAAGCACATTGGTTCAAACCTCATACTTGTGCACAAAGGTCTTGCATCAAGATCATTCATTTTTGAAAACGGAGCCAATGAATGTCTTCATATAGTTCATTTTTCATTCATTTTTAAGTGCCTGTTTGATAATGTACAGGCGTTCACTGCCTCACTGCAATTTCCATTGCCAAAACAACTGGCGTATACAGCAGTCAGCCCTGTAATGGGACATGACACAAGTCATCTTTGGAAAAGTAATGTAAAGGTTTTGTACATTATGTGCATGTCACTATTCCATGTCAGCTAGTTTGTAAAGAAATTGTTCTCTTCCACTTAATCATATACAACTCCTAATAATGCATTTGTTTACTAAAATATTGGTATTTTCTTCTTCACTTCATGATGAATGGGAGTGTGAACCTTAATGTCATACTTTCTCAAAGTGTGAAGGTAAAAAGTGATTTCAAGAGTGAAAAACCTAGTATTATCCTACTACAGTAGGCTTGCCCATAGAGTCTCCATTCAATTGATTTAGTTCTGCTTTTCTATTGCTGGGTTCATAACATAATAAAGAGGCATATGTTTGATGCCTAAATGTAACAACAGTACACTACACATACTCCAGAAATGAAAAAAAAAAACTTTCATCCTTCAATACGGCATTGTTCTTCGTCAGCCACTTTAATTCAGTCTTGCCCTTCCGTTTCAAACCTTAATTGTACATTTATTCAGTCCTGAGAAGCAGTTGCAGGCACATTCCTAACATATGTGCCCAGTCCTGATGCATATTTTCCCTTGATTTATTTTCTCACAAACTGAAACACAAGGATATGCCTCTTCTGTGAACTAATGTGAAACATCCCGTGAACAGTACAGCTTTTATAGCCTGGCTCAGAGGCAGCTCCGATCTTCCTGTGAGCCTTTTTAGCCTTCTTGTTATAAACCCAGAAAGACAGTATGGAAAAATCTTGGTGAAATACAAGTACTGTTCATGCGTTCGGTATAACTTTTCAATTTCTTATTGCAGCTGTCTGTGACCAATACTGTAAATAAGAACACATTTCCCTTTATATAAGACTGCTATTCAACAAGCTTGCCCGGTAACATCATTCTAGAGAAGCATAAAGCAGTCAAATACTTGATTATATTTGTTTTTTTTTCCAATTAAAACACTTAAATTATATTGTTACGCTATTATTACAGTATATTGGGCAGCCAGAGCTTCAGGAGCAGGGCAGGGGGCACCCTGGATGGGACCCCAGTCCAACCTGAGCCACGCAGAGACACAGACACACTCCGTCACTATCTCTTTGGACCGTGGGAGGAAAGCAGAGCACCCAGAGGAAACCTCTACAAACCGGGAAAAACATACAAACTCCACACTAATAGCACCTCATGTGCAGGGTCCCAGATCTGCAGGGCAGCAGTGTTGACAACTGCGCCACCCATATTATTCTTATTCTTATTCTTATTCTTATTCTTATTCTTATTCTTATTCTTATTCTTATTCTTATTCTTATTCTTATTCTTATTCTTATTCTTATTGTTGCAGATTTGGCCTCAATGTTCATACCCTGGCCTGGACTGTCCCTTCCTCCAGCATTATGATACAATACATGTAGTGTACGAATTACCAGAGAAATATTGCAAATGGAGGATTGCGCATAATCCTTTATGGAAGATTCAGACGTATAGACGTATAACCTGTCTCAGGATGATCCAAACTCACGTTCCTTATCAATGGTGAACAATCCAACACTTGATGAATTGTGCTTCGCAATGATAGAAAGATCAGGCACTGAATATTTACCCACTTTTCACCCATGACGAATTCCTAATGCAAGAAATTGTATATGGCTAATAAAGTGATCTTATTTACGTATCATAAACACTTGTCCCCCACTGTATTTATGACTGACCATATACAGTATGCTTACAATTTCTTTTATACCATCTCTTACAGATTTCTTGTCGATCAGCCAAATCTACAAACAGTTCATGCTGTTATTTAAAAGCCAGAGGATCCAACACGAACAAGGCAATGGTTTTAAGGGGACAAACAAACGTATCCTGCAATTCTTGAGGCATGCAAGTGTTCGGTTACATTTTCCTTTTATAGAGAGACTGAGGCAGCTGCTTCATTGTAAGTCACCTTTGCTTACAGATGACTTCAGGACCCTGGGGGTGCTGTGACTTTCAGCTGTAAATTCCTCAGCGTACTCCACTTCCGACATTAAAGGACTAGCATCCAAAAGGATTTGGATTCACTTTTTTTTTTCAACACATTGCAAGATAAGATCATTCAGAAATTTTTAGAATCAATCAACTACATCAACGTTTCTCAGGGTATTCAACTATTACTTAACAGGATGTCTTCTGTGAGCGAAAGTTAAATAAACAGTAAACTGCCGTTTTCCTAATACAGTAAATAAGAATACTTGCAGAACATGCAGTATTTCTGAAGTGAGTGCTGGACCTGCTTTGAACCACACATTGGTTACTTTGCTCAACACTGATATGAAGCTCTTTTTGCCCAGAATTTGGATTGGATTAAAAAAAAACTCATCAAAATCCATACTCATGGAGAAATGCTGTAATCTCACACAAGAGAATACACCTGTATCCCTTAAAAGTGTCACCATTCTTTCTTTATGTCCAGCTTATTACTTCTTTCCTTTACTTTCTTTCCTTTATAGTGTCACTCGACGCTGCTCAAGGCCCTTTGACTCACTACAGACTGTTTTCATTTTGACTTTAATGAGCCTGTGACAGAACATCTGCTGATCAACTCATCCAGCTGCAACACATTGAAATAATCAACAGTCCAGTTAATCATGGAAAGGAAGATGTACACAAGACATTTTTCTAGTATCCATATACCTCTTGTATAGCCATTTTTTCCTGAGAGCTCTGGAAATATTTCTCAGTTTACAAAAATGGATTAACTAGCTTCCGAAATTCCTGTTGCACTTTTGATTGCATAAGCTAGCATTGCACTGGTAGAACAACTTCAAGGGCCCCTGCACATCAAAACACACGTTTCACACATTGTCTGGTTCGGTCATTTCCTTGGTCATTTCATTTTCCTTATGTTAAACTGCACAAAAACCCGTGTAGATGAGAAAAGAGCTTACTTTTAACACAGGAGCTTGCTGTCCCCCGTAGCTGGAGCCAAATGCTGGACAGATAAGTCCCAGGAAGATGGAAAACCAGCAAAGGGAGGGGAGAACAGTTAAAGCCATTTCCCCTTCTTCATCCAAAGTTGCTCGCCTGGCTTCTGGTTATCGTCACGCCAACGCGGGTGTCAGCTCCCTTCGGCTTGCTGGCTCCGTTGTTTTGACTCTTCAGCTGCCTGCAGCCCCCCAGATGTGGTTGCTGCTCACGCCAGCCCAGCTGAAGTCCTGCGAAACAAACTGCAGGCGGCTTCCTTCCCTCGCAGCCCGTCCTCCCTCTCCCCGGAGTCTTCCCTGAAATCGCACGCAGATGGGCAGTCGGCAGGAGGAAGAGGGGGAGAGAGATTACACCCGTGTCAGAGAGGGCTGGTGTAGCAGGGAGCCCCTGCATCCAGGCCACATTAGCTCCTCCTCATCAGGATGCAGGCGGGGTGTGTGTTGGGAATCTGGCTTCCACACTGTACCAAAGCCTCTAGTTCCCATCCTGGCTCGACAGCCTGAAAGACAGAGCCTGTCTCCCACTCCCTCCTCACCCCCCCCGGCAGCTCCCCTTTGCTTGTTTTCTTAGGTCATACTCTCAACCAAGGTGCCAAATTTATTAAAACCATGCTAGAGGCCCGCATCCCTCTCGTCCTGTCAGAAGGGGAAGCTGGGATTCCAGCACAAAAGAGATTTTGTTCGGATTTAGGCCCAGATGTTAAGCAAGAAGACAGCACTGTGCTTACTTGTCCCCGCTGTTTTGTTTATGATTTTTGCAATGCTTCTGACTAAAGAGAGACATGCGCTTTCAATCTCTTTCGAGTTCTAATTCAGGGCTTGTCAGTGGATCGAAAGTGTTTTTTTTTTCCTTTGCACAAAGAGTATCTTGTTTGCACTGTAGCCCAGACTCGTTAAGATAACCATAGGAAGATATTACTCTCAGATGACCAATAAAAATGGCATCCAGAATGTTTTATGGAAGGTATTACTAGGGGTCTTTAGCATTAATACCTAATTAAAATAAATAAGGTATTTTGTATGAAATGGGCAATATTCAGTCAGTAACAGGTTGCGTGCCTTTAACATAGAAATGAAAATGGGAAGATTCTGCTTTTGATGACACATTTGACAAAGTATTAGTATTTTATTAAATCATGCCCTAAGACATACCGTATATAGCCTTAGGAAATAAGATTAAAACAATGATGTTGTAGGCCAACAATATACTGTCACTTATACATTTGGGTGTTTGCAGTAAACTACAGTAGGGAGTTCCATCCATCCATTGTCTAACTGCTTCTTCCAAATCGGGGTCACAGGGGAATCCTGACAAATAACAGGCGGGAGGAAAGGTACAGTACACCCTGGACAGCACTCCAGTCCATCACAGAACAAACTGACACAAGCACACGGTCACCCCAGGGCCAGTTTTCCTTCAAGCCAATTAACTTGCCGGCATGTCTCTGGACCTTGGGAGGAACCCCATGCAAGCGCAGGGAGAACATGCAGACTCCACACAGACAGCAGCTCAGAACTGAACCCGGGCCCCCAGAGCTGTGAGGCAGCAATGTTAACAACTGCATCACCACGCGGTTCCTTATTGTTTTCACTAATCATAGAAAAACTTCGGTGCGTTTGTCAGGGTGCAGTCCCAAGACAGCTGAAAAAA